CTTGAGTTCTGATCTAATATGTACTTTTTCCAAGACGATGTGCTCAGGCGAGCGCTTTGGCCCCTGGGCCTCTTGTCATGTCTTTTGATCAACTGCGCAGTGCGCACCCTACTCAGAGTACTCAAAATTTGAGGGCAAGTAGTATCTCGAGATGGATGGATAGATAGTATATTTATAAAGGTTGCAAATACAGAACAAAATTACACAAAAAAAGGGACTAGGTATAGAATCACGTCCATGTCCTTGGGTCTAGAAACATGCATCATTTTAATGCATGGCTAAGAGTTCTACCAAAATAAAACTGGAAACAACCACATGCTTTTACTTACTTCGAATTATCTGACGTTTTCACGCTTTTTTTACGATTTTGATATTTTGGCTGCTTAGAAAACGTCAGAAACGATGCCATTACAAAACTGAGGATCATGCATGCAAAATGTACTAATTAACCAGGCTAAAACATGAAGCTCTGAAACTTTCTACGAACCTAAATATGAATATCCAACCACATATTATATCTATAAAGATGAGAACCACGATGATCCGAAGTTCATTATTATCTACAAGGCTTCCTCACACAGTAAAGGCTACAGGCAATGCAGAAGATTGTTGGTCGAAGGCACAGGCCAAAAATATAATAAAGCTTTAAGACATTTTAAGTACGGCTTGATGAGCTGCTTACATCTGGTTTATGACAGGTCGTACTGTAAATGACTAATGAGATGTTTGCATTGGAATGTCAACCCCTGAGAGGCAGGAGGAAAACTTGTAATTTAACGTACTGAGACTGCGGACACTAGGGCTTGGGGTATTCAACCATTTAGTGTGAATATGGAATCCCTCGAACAACTTAACTATCATTTTTGAACACTAGAAGTTGATGTACATTGTAAATATTGAGTATTGTACATGCGTAGATGGGGAAGTGTTTGTTAAGGCAAAGTCGAGTTTGGTGTATGATGGATGTTCCTAAAACTGTCTGACACGATTGATTGTTTCTACATACTTTACTTATAAAACATATTTTGGTTTGTTTCGATCATATGTATTTACTTACTTACTTAGGTTTTCTGATTCAGGGACTGGTTGGTTCCTCTGCATTAGACTCTACATCGAATTCTTCTCCACTTCCGCATATTGTTGCTTTGAACAGGTCCAGTACAATCTCTTTATTTAGCTATATAGCTTTAAAAAGCTATATAGCTTAATAAAGCTATTACAAATAGCTTTATTTAGCTATTTCCTGAGTATAAAATAAAAAAAAAATCATTAAAAATCGAAAACTTGAAAGCGCATTCTGAGTTGTTGTCATGTTATACCAGGGACCTATATACTAACGGGATAGGCAACTTCTACAGTTTCCTTTGCCTCTTTCACGAAATCACGTAAGGCGCGAGAAGAGAAGATTTCCAGCGACGCCATATTGAATTTTTTAAAAACTAGTGCTTCATTTTCAACAATAACGTCCCGAAATTAAAAGTTACACCGCCAATTTAGTCAGGTAAGTGTTTTATTATCTTCATTGATTACCACTGATGATAATACAAACACCCGCGATAAGGTGTTTACACAGTAATTAAGATAAGCGGTCAGGCGTGGAGCCTCGTGGCTATGTTTACAAACACAGCAGGTGTTAAAGAGGCATCAAAGGGCAATTATAACGGAAGCTTGATCTTAACTAAAATACAGTATATTTCAGCAAATACTAGAAAGATATTGTGGAATGTTTCATGATTACCGTCATTAATTGGTCAATTTCTGCAAACCCAAAAGCGTAAATGGGGACCTCAAGATTTTTCATAAAACTTCATCATTTGGAAAGAAAATTAAAAATTTTCGATTTCGAAAGTGAAAATAAGTATTAAATGATGGATTTACGCAGGTAGGTTAAGGTTACAACCAAATATTCTTCTTGCCTATATGATATGACGTCATAGTAAGCTATATGACGTGAAGTTTAGAGATAACAATTTCTTATAATCGTTATCTAAGATTGATTTTAGGTCCTGAAAATTAATCAAAATATGCAGAGGCATAATACAAACAGAATTTTGTCGTTTCTGGGTCTCTGTAGTTATCACAGGGCTTAAATACCAAACCCGTGACGTCATAACTGTTGATCATGCAGTAGCAGAGTGAAAGTGAAACGTAACGAGAATTCCTGTAAACAAACACAAGAAATCGGAGTTTAAAAGCATTTAGAATGAATATCATGTGTGATTCATGTGGGAATAAAGCTTATGAATAAGGTATGGTAATATACTTCAACAATTTCTTCGTAAAATTAAAGCAGGGAGGATGTTTACTTGCCGATCAGCCTTTCCTCTGTCATTCGAAACAAATAAGATTCAAAAGTTCAACACTACGCAGCACACTTTGAAACTAAATTTTTGTTTCTATCTAAAGTTCTTATTCTATTGTTTATGGAAAGTGCTGCTAGAATCGTATGGTTTACGGGAATTAATGCATTTTTTCGATGTTATGAACAAAATATAAAAATTTTGGGAAGGTTTCGTCAGAAAGTGTTGAATAGTTATTTCTGTGAAAGGACAGTAGGATTCTAGCAGCACTTTTCATGGTACAGAGATGTTTTTACATAATCATTATTACAAATTGAAATTAATTATCCCCGGGGTAGTGTTGAACTTTTCACTTTTTCATAAAGGCATATTTTCTAATTATAGACGTCACGTGATGACGTCGTGGTGAAGTGCTTCATGTAGTATAAGTCCCATTGAAGTCTATAGAATACATAATTATAACAAAAGTTTTATGCTTGATCTTTCCGATTTATTAGTGTTACATAATTATAAAAAAAGTCTTAATTCGCCGAATTTTGGTCCATGTGCTGCCTTAACATACCCGCGTATTTAAAAAATTGAATCTTCAAATATTTTATTAGTCGAAAGAACAAGTCTCAAAGATGGGCATTTTTCTGTTGCAGCCATGTTTTTTTTAATGAGAATGCAATGCCAAGGTGGTCTTCGAAATTTTTCTTAAAACTTGAAGTATGATGCATTGAAGTGAAAGAAAACTGGGTCAAATTGAGCAAAAATGAACAAGGAATGGATTTTTGATAAAAGAACTAAAAAATGATTTGCTCAATATTTTGTAAATTGTGGTGAAAGTGATGAATATTCCAATATTATATAAGAATGTATGCCGAGGTGACCGTGGGATTTTTTTTTTCTTCTAAAAACTTAAGTATATTGCCCTAAAGTTAGAGAAAGTTGGATCAAATTGCACTTAAATAAGAAAAGGATGGATTTTTGCTAAAAAAAAATTCAGTAATAATTTTACAATAATTTGTAATTCATTATTTTAAGTGATCATAATTCCCCCAAAATTAAAGTTATATCTACATGTATAACATCATTGATTCATATGAAAAAAGATGTATTCCTTCAGATTTTTTCTCATGTTTATTTTTTTTTTTCAAGTTTAGTTCATCATGTTTGCCTCTTAATACATTCTGAATGAATACCAATGCAGAAATTTTATCAATGTTGTTGTTTATACATAAAGCATTGGTGTGTGCTAGATTTATAGATATTTTATTCTAGGCGTTACCAGTCCTTCAAAGAATTATAATACAGGTAGTCCATAAAATTTCCCTTCTTGACCCCCTTGCATATTTAATCTACCTGTAGAAACTCCCCAGGTAATACAACCAGCCAATCAAAATGAAGCATTTCTATATCAGGCATTACAGTTAAAATCACAAAAATATTGAATATGGGTTTTTTAAATTGACAATTAAAATGCTTTTTTGAAATAAAAAATTGTTGTAAGGTCCACAGAGATTGTGTTCATAAACCTCATAAACCTGTTACAACTTATCTCTAACCATTTACTTTGAAATAGGGGAAAATTTGACTTATTCTCTAATTATCATGAATTATGACATATAGCATAATATAGCAGGCCAGAAATTTTATTTTCTTTTGAAAACAAGGATAATTATAGCTTAGTACATATGTATATTACACCAGGGACATACCGGTACAAGTTTACTAACTAATACCCAGCTGGAACGAGCTATTGTAATAGATGGCACATTGACCTTGATAGGCTAAGTCTGTCATGTTGAAATTAAAAATGATCCTTTTGACAGATCCCAGTTTTTTTTTTTTTTTTTAGTTTTATTGCTACACTGGAGCAGATGAAAGATCTAATATTTTAATTAGATTGATCCCGACTTAAGCAGTTAAGAAATTTTGTGTGGTTTGCACTGTTTGTAAGGGTTGATTGTCTTAACAAAGGGCTTTAAATTTCTAAGAGAATTGCTTCAAAATAGACAGATAAAATTATTGTTTAAAAAAGATTTTTTATTTTAAAATAAGAAGTTTAAAACTGAATGTTGACGTTTAATAAATGAGCAGATCTAACATCTAAACATCTAAAATAGATTGATATTTGAGTACCGTTCTGTGTAGGGGGCTATATATATATATATATTTCTTTTTTTTGAAAATCAGACAAAAACTATATATATAATAAAATAAAAGTAAATGGAAAATTAATGAAAATTTGTATATAAAAAAGATTCATCCCTCCCTCTGTCCCTCCCTCCTGGGTCTAAAAAACCTCTAGGTGGCAATTCCAAACAAACATTTTTTAAAGGATGATCTTAAAGAAACATTTCAGGGGCGTAGCAACCGGGGGGGGGGGGGGTAGTATTAGAATGGGTACTAAGAGTAGTTGACACTGAGAAAAAGTTTACCTACCCCACCCCCCCCCCCCACGAAATAGGATTTTCGACTTTGGGCAACTTTTTTTGTTTTTGTTTTTTTTTTTGCTTGTCAATTTTTTCATGTAATTAAAAAAAATTTTTTCTCTGGCTGGCCCCCCCCCCCTCCCCCACTTTCAAAAACGATGCTACGCCACTGTATTTTATATGACTGAGCAGAGGGTTTATGAACCTTGAAGCTATTGTAAAATTATACCTATAAATAGAATTCTTAAAATCCTATATATAATGCAAGCATTTTTGTTTCAGAATGCCTAGAAAGCGGCGGATTTCTGTGATGCAGCAGAAAAAGTACCACTACCAGAGGGCCCGAGACGAACAATCCTATGTACAGTTGGAACACAATTATGTCCGAAGTCACAGTGATGCTCCCGAAACGGAAGGAGACAGATCCCCTCGCTCAGACTGTGAATTTGATGGTGAAGACTCAAGTGCAGAGGAAATGGACATAGACAATTTGGATTTGAATGCAGGCATTCTTGTGGGAGAAAGTGTTGAAGTTGAGACAGAGGAAGTGACAGATCCATTTGAAATTTTACGATATGAGTTGACTGAAAACGTGCCTTCCCCGTATATTATGGACTTCAATGAAAAGCAACACAGTATTGAAATTCTCCAGCTCTACAGACGGGAACACAACACAGCCGTGAAGTTATCTCTTGTGATCGGAAAAGACTGCCATGTTCAGCTGTATGTTCATCGGACATTAGTTCCTGAAACCCATGATTTTTGGAGTGAGCTTTCAACACACGTCCAAAGTGCAAGTGATGTTTTCAAGATACTGGAAAAGCTTTTAGAGTATGGAGTGTGCATTGGAAACCCAGATCCAGAATTTCAGGAATTGACACCAGTTGGGTGTGGAATCTCGAGTGCCTCATCACCAGAAATTTTAGCCTACCGTGAAGGTGACTTTTGTGCTGTCCAAGGGAATCTGTCTTATTCATCTACCATCAGATCTTCCCAGTATGCTATGCTTGTTCTTGGTGCTAGATGTCCTCAGTGTTCAAGTTATCGTCGACAGTTGAAGGCACGGGAAATCCGACAGGAAGAAAAACAGGAAAAGACATTATCTTTGAGCAGCACATATAAACATAAGGACATGAACAGGGATATGCTGTTAAAGAAGTTAGAGCAACAAAAGGAACAAATCAAGTCCATACAGCACACGATTGATAAGATGAGAAGAGACTGTGATAAGGAGATCATAAGAAATGGCATTTCTATGAATTCCATCCAAAATCAGGAGGTAGAAGATTTGATGGCTACCTGTGAGGAAGAGATGGTGGCAGCCTATCCCGACTGCAATTCATTTCAACGCCTCTTTTGGGAACAACAGAAAAAGGCTATCAAACATGGAACAAATGGTATGCGTTGGCATCCGACAATTATAAGATGGTGTCTCTACCTCAGGCAGAAGTCATCAAAAGCTTATGATGCTCTTCGAGACTCAGGATTCATCACACTGCCAAGTTCAAGGACTCTCTTTGATTACACTCATTATCTGACCAGTGCCCTTGGGTTCCAGCCAGATGTTGTCAAGTTATTACGCGAGGAGTGTGAAAAAAGAGAGATGTTCCAGGAGGAATGGAAGAGCTACACCGGCATTTTGTTTGATGAGATAAAGATCAAGGAAGATTTAGTGTACGACAAGCACTCAGGAGAAATCAAAGGCTATGTGAAGCTAGGGGACATAGGAGATCAACTCTGTGCGTTATTTAGAGAGAAATGTTAGCGGAGTTGCAGGAAACTCTAGTGTAGCCAAATGTATTCTTGTTCTGATGGTGCGTGGAATTACGAGTGACCTTAAGTTTCCATTCGCAGCTTTTGCTACGACAGGGATAACAGCAGATTTCTTATATCCCATCATTTGGAGGGCTGTTGAATTTTTGGAGACTGGTGAAAGTTAAGGTGCTCTTTCTTACCTGCGATGGAGCATCACCTAATAGAAGATTTTTTAATTTGCACAGAGTTCATGAGGATGGGATTGTCCATTTCACTCTAAATCCACATGACCTGTCAAGAAAAATCTTCTTTATATCAGATGTACCTCATTTGGTTAAAACAACAAGAAATTGCTTCAGCAACTCGAATTCCCACTCAAATACCAGGAAATTATGGAAGGATGGAAAAGACATATCATGGCTACATGTACTGAGGCATTATGAGGAACATTGCGAGAGTAATCTGTATTCCACCTGCAAGTGTGAATACTTATATTTGGACCATAGCTGACAGCTAATAAATACCTTGAATTCCACACAAAAGACAGGAATACCCAAACCACCTTCCTTACTCTCCTTCACTTGAAAGGCCCTATCTTCAATAAGCTTCTCCCTGCTCAAATGGTTATGCCAAGTATTATCTTTCCCAAAAAATTGTAGCTATTTGTAGGTACATGAATTATGAAGAAATCAATTATCTTACTCATTACTGTTCCTTTCAATTTTTGCAGAAATATCTTTAATATGAAACATATTTAATAAGATTTAAATGATGCTTCTCACTGTATAAAAATCTTGGTTTTTGACACACTTACCACTCAGTAAAAAGTTTTTAGATTCTCTCAAAAATACAATGAAAACTTCAGCCAGTAGAATCACGAACTGAGAGTCTGTCACTGTCTGTATATGCGATTCGAAGACTGACCCCCAAAAAATCAACAAACGAGACTTTGTCATTAACTTCAATCATAAAATAATCTATTTTTTACTTACATTTATGGTCTCAAACTCTTTAATTCACTAGTTTTCTTTTAATAAGACACCAACTGCCTTTTGTGGCTTTACTACGGCTATCAAAGCACATTTTTCGTCATTACGGGAAGCAGAATTCAGTCGCCAAATGTAAAACCAAACCGGAACGGACATTCGGAATTCCGAATTGTTTGTTTTTTTCAAAGACGAATTTCTTCGAAACCTACGCGCGCAGGTGACGTTAAACATAGTTTTAATTTTAAACAGCCTAAGTATACTTCACACTGTACACTGTACATGTGTGTACATATTCTATACATATTTATCCCTTTAAACAATGTTTTCATGTCTTAAACTATAAACATTTTATTCTATTTAATATAAACAGAAATTGGGTGCGGAAAAAAAGAAGTAGTGTAGACAGAAGCTGGGGGGGGGGGTAATATTTACAAATACTGTGTCATATGATACAATCAGCTATCAATCAGCTCTAAGACTAAAACAATCATATGTATTATGCCTAAATCAGGTTGTTACTGTTATCATTTCCCAAATAAGGTCAGAAAATATTTTTTTTTTTCATTTCTGTGTAATTAATAATAAATGAATGTAGAATCATCATGACCATTTCTAATGCTTCTGCTTAAATGTTTAATGAGCTCACTCAGCAGTGCACTTAGATATTGTACATGTATGTATGATGTATTGTGAGTTATGAAACATAAGTTAATCTTTTCATTTTATTCATTACAGAAAATGGATTGTCTGCACTCATGCGCCATCGCAGTACGAGGATTTCAACCTAAGAAGTATGTAATTGTATGATTTTATTTTTATCATGTATTTTTACATGTTCATTAAAGTACATAAACATCATTATCTGAGTTGACGTGACATGTCTGCAGTTACTCGGAACAAGTGATTTTCTTCTTTTAAAAATATTGAGAGTAAAACTGAAAGAAATGTTGAATTTTTCTGGTCATCATGTTGTAGTATCATAGATTTTCATATTCAAATTTCAAGACCAAAAAAAAAAAAACAAAAAAAAAACAAAAAAAAACATTAAATAGATAAATACAAGCAGAAAATAGAGAAAAGTCACTAAAACAAATTTATTCATGCTTGTTAGCAAGTTGACAAGATAAAATGAATTATAATGTACAAGTAAATTACATTAAATAAGATTTTTTTTTAATTTTATATGACTGAGGTTGCAGTATAAGATTTTATTTTTCATGACTTCTAAATGCATTACTTTTGGGAAAGGAAAAGGTGAAATTAAAACCAATTGTACATGAAATGTGAAAGATAGTCACAATCAAAAACATTTTAAACATGTTAAATGTGTATGAAATGTGTATGACAAAATTTACAATCAACATGCCTATAATTTCATTTTATGTTTTGTTTTTTTTTCAGGAAACCCTGCACATTTGCAGCTGTACAGAATGCAATTCATGCCATATGCTGTTAGAGTAAATGATGAAAGATGATCATACCAGTGTCACGGAGTCTTAAGTCTGAAATCATGGTGTTTTTATTAGGGAGATCAGTGTGTTTTCTGTGCATTGTTGACATTTGAAGAACTGTTCGATTTATGACCATCTCTCTGACAATAACTCTGACATTTGAATTTCAATTTGAGCGACGGTTAAGAAAGCCAAATTTTATGCATGTAAAACATTATACAAGTGTAATAAAAACAATGATAAACTTTAATTTAAACAAAGTTCATGTACATGTATCTGTGATCTTTGCATTGAAATTAATAAATGCTGTACATGGATACTTTTAATGACTGTCTCATGGTAATGGAATATTCAATTGTTAAACATTGTTGAAGAATCACCCTGAATAAAAATATTGTGAACTTGATAAAGTATTTTTCCTCATTTAAACACTGAATATTTTAAGATCAAATGTCAGGGTCAAATACAAAGTTTACTCAAGAATGTGTAATAAATGCTGTAAGTACTGTGAATTCTTATGCATGTTTTATAAGATCTAAGGAACATGTGTGGAGCATTTTAATATTTCTCAATCTGACACTGATTAACATTCAAGATCAAATGCCAAGGTCAAATATAAACTTGTTTTACTCAAGAATGAGTTATACATGTTAATAATGTGAATTCTGAATTTCTCATGCATGTTTTAAAAGATCTTAGAAACATGTGTGACCTCACTACAATATTTATTAATGTCAATCTGTCAACCAATATCAAATTTAGAAAATATATTCTATTGAACATTAAATTATTAATTTTTTACACATAAAAAAAAATGAAAATTGAAATACATTTGTACGGTGTTGAGCTGACCATAAACTGAGGAGAAACTGAAGTGAGATGAAAAAAATTAACAATTAGATTATCTTGAATTTAGCAACTATATATTTTGCATGTTTGAAAAATATCACATACAATAGATGATGAACTGAAATTTAAAAAAAGAATAAATTATGAATTTAAATTAAAAAAAATCATACAATTAATATTGATATTATTAGACAATTTCACATTTAAAATGTTTAATATGTGAAAGTCAAGATATTCTAGATCTACATTTGACTTGTCTGTTTGGTTTATGGTCTAGTCATATCTTCTTTTTCAGAATTGCATACAGAAAAACCTGTTACACAGGCACAGTTAGACTAGATCTATACATGTACATGCATGTTATTTTCATGGTGCTCAGCTTAGGAAAAAATAAGATTTTACCTGGAACATACATGTATACTTAAACATTATTACCATATAGGCACATGATTTTTAAAAATAATTAAATATTACACGTCGGACGCAAGTCGCGATCCCGGGTCTCACGATCATTGTTAGTAGGAAAATTAAAACACTAAGTATATTTTTCTTTAATTTTTCTGGTAGGCCAATTTCTTTAAATATGTTTGCAAAATCAGTATTTGTCCACGTGTAATTACGATCTGTTTGTTAACATTATTTTTTAACATGGTTATGATAACCGTAAATTTAATTTGTGCGGTCAGTCGGGAATTATGGAATGCCGATCTCGATTATTTTTCTCCATTAAAATATATAACATTTAAATGAATACCATAACTATATCTGATTTTATTTTCTGGTAATTCCCTTTTATCGTTTTGTCAAATTAATTCCTAAATATTAAAAAACTGAGAATTGCAGGATAGGATAGGATAGGATTAGACTGAAATCACAGGATAGGATTGTGGATGCAGGATTCACGATAGGATAGGATAGAATTGTCAACTTATAGGATAGCAGCACTGTATAACTATTGTATTTCTTCAGGCGAAATCAAGAACTCTTTTGCAGTCGTTTCGGATTTTTTATGCAAAATTTCTTAAGTTATAAGTAAAGGTTTTTACCGCCCTAACCTGACCTTCATTTTTGACCTACTTTTATAAAATTTAAACATTACTTTGAACTGGCCATAACCTTTGAACAAGAAGAGATTGGACTTTCATATTAAAACGTGTATCATGACATTTCAAAATAGTTATTTCTTCCTCAAAATTTTTAACTGAAAGAAGACGAGACTTTCATATTTGACACGTTCATTACCTGTGACAATATATTTCCGCGCATGCTATGATTTCTGACCCTTTGACCTTAACAATTGACCTCATTTATAAATTTCAACTTCGGTGTTTATTTCTAAATGACATATGTCATAAAAAATGTCAAATCACCCACAAAGGTACCGAAAGCGGGAGACCGCAATTCTTTGCATTTGCTTGTAATGTTTAAAAATCTGGAAAGCAAAATGACTGACGATTTGTTTTGAAACAGAAAGTATTCTAAAAAAAACACAGATAACAATTGCAAATTTGATATCTTGCCGATAAACTTGTTTGATGATCAATACATAGTGTATCTGGGAAGCTGAATAATCCCAATCAGAATCAGGCGTCGGAACCGGGTGGAGGGGGAGCTTGCAAAATAAACAATCCCTCGGATACAATGCAAATGAAAAATTATACAATACAAATGGAAAATATAGAATACAAATAAAAAATTATACAATACAAATGATTTTTTTACAATATAAATGAAAAATTATACAATACAAATGATTTTTTTACAATATAAATGAAAAATTATACAATGCAAATGAAAAATTATACATTGCAAATGAAAATTATACAATGCAATTGGAAAATATAGAACACAAATGAAAAATTATACAAATGGAAAATTATACAATACAAATGGAAAATTATAGAATACAAATAAAAAATATACAAAACAAATGGAAAATTATACAATGCAAATGGAAAATTATACAATACAAATGAATCATTATACAATACAAATAGAAAATTTTACAATACAAATGAAAAAGATCGAATATTGCAACGTTTGACTTCCCATAGTTTTCATGATGATGTATGGAAAGCCACAGGGGACCCCCAGGGTCAGGGTCTATATATTCTATAGTTTTAACCCTGGCCACCCTTGATTTCTACACTGGCCTACCCATGTTCGAAGCCATAAGGGACTCCCAGGGTAAGGGTCTATATATTCTATAGTTTTAACCCTGGCCACCCTTGATGTACACCCTGGCCGTCCACCCTGGCCTTCCCATGTATGTAATCTATAGTTTTAACCCTGGCCACCGATGATGTACACCCTGGTATTCCACCCTGGCCTTCCCATGCTTGCATCCTGGACCTCCAAGGGTCAGAGTCTATGTAATCTATAGTTTAACCCTGGCCATCCATGATGTACACCCTGGCCACCCTTGATGTACACCCTGGCCGTCCACCCTGGCCTTCCCATGTATGCAATCTATAGTTTTAACCCTGGCCATCCATGATGTACACCCTGGCCTTCCCATGCTTGCATCCTGGAACTCCCAGGGTCAGGGTCTTTTAACCCTGGCATGCCCAGGCTAACCCTGGCCGTCCACCCTAGCCTGGCCATGTTTACATCTTTAACCCTGACTGTCCACCCTAGCCTGGCCAATCCATGTTTGCAGCATGCCAATCCCATGCTAGCCTGGCTTGCGTACCTGGCAGTTTAAACCCTGGCATGCCCAGGCTAACCCTGGCCATGGCCAGGATTTCGGTTGACCTCGATCATTCCCAAGCTTCTACGAGATAACCAGCCAAGATTCCAAGAGATAGAGATTTGATTTGGCCAAGATTCCCTATGACGCAGATGCACAGGCATCAACATCGTGGTCGTCAGCCGGCAGCTTGTAAAGTGTAGTATAGTGTAGATTCGAGGTAAGTAATAATAATATATCAATTAATATTATTTCTTGTAAGTTTTAGTATAAATAACTTACAAATAAAATCAGGAATTCTTGTTATTTAATGGAAGTTATACGTGAAAACAGTTTATCTTATAAACTGAAGGGAGTCTCATGATCGAGGAAATTCGAATGAAATCTTCATTTTTTAGTGAACCTCAATTAAAATTTAAATTCATAACTATTGATTTTGTTTCCCCATAAAATTATACTTGGTATCAAAAGAGTTATTATAACTGTCAAAAGATTTATAAAATAATATTTTTCATGTTTTCTCCATGTTCTCTGTGATAAATCTTTTATATTTAGGAGATTGTATTTTTTTCTTTTATGTTTGGAGCTAAATAGGCATATTAAGAATCATATTTAGAAAATCTATTGTTTAGATAATTTGTATACTGTTGTAGAATGTTCTGCATAGAATGTGGTAGCCACCTTGGACCCCTCAACAAGTTCTGTGGGGAATGTGGTGCTGCTGTGAACAAAGAAAGTAAGTATGGGGTTTTAAAAATAACAGAATTTTCTTCTTTTTTTTAAATTGTTTTTTTAAAAATATTTATTTTTACTGTGTTTTTTTTTATTCATACATTGTCTTAATAGAGGATATCATTCTACATAAGGAGATGTTTCTGTTTGTACATTTGTACAAATAAATGTTTGAAAACATAGACAAATTTTTGAAATATGAAACAATTTGAATGTTATAGTTAAAAGATGAAATTTATGTACAGTAACTGGCATATGTACATGTACTACATTTTTTTCATGTCTGCATGCCGATCTATTCTTGAAGTTGAGTGCAATTGAAGTCGAGGGAAATTCAGTTATATAATTGATTATACCTCTACTTAGAAGGAGAGGGGTTAACTGTTTTGCCCTTGTGTGTCTGACCGTCTTTCTTTCTGTCTAGCGTCCGTCCATGTGTCTGTAGGTATTATTATAAATTTTTTATTGCAGAATTTTCAACTACTACGCATCGCAGATGCTTGAAATTTTAGCAGAATCTTTGCTGAGGCATGCCATATGATGGGATTAATTTTTGTGCAAATTCGATGTCTACTTCCTATTTATTCATGCATCTGTCCATACATTCAATACATAACAAATTTCAGTCACAGTTTTCTCAGCAACTGCTCATAGCAGATGCTTGAAATTTTAGCACATTTTTTGCTGATGGATGCAATTAAGTAGGAATTATTTTTGCACAAATCCAATATCAACTTTCTGTTTATCTGCCATCTGTGCGTCTGTCCATACAATACATAACAAAGTTTCGTCACAGTTTTCTCAACAACTATAATCATGGCATATCTTTGAAATTTTTGCACATTTTTTGCTGAGGCATGCCATATGGTGCTAATGTTGAAATGCAAATCCGATTCAACCTCCTGTTTATCTGTGTGTCTGTCCATACCTGGACTTGAGTATATTGGTCATTTATGGCTCACAGACTTCTTGTTTGTGGTCGATACTGATGGCTGAAAATGTATTAATGAAATGGAGATTCTAAAATTTCTTTTTAGGCAGGATTAAAGATACTCATCATGCAGTGAAAGTACTAAGTGAAGGTAATTTTTAAAGATATTATGTAGATAGCTAGATAAATGGATAGATAATGGGCGGATGGTTAGTATGTAATCTGTCCTCTTAGATTGTAGAAAAATTACTTATTTGATATCATTTAGAAACCAAACAGAAACCGGATGGAATGGAGTCCACAGGCCCTTCAAAAAGGATTGAAGATGAAGGTAAATAAATTATATACCGGTATTCAATTGTGGACATACAACTATTCTGATATACTAAACAACAATGTAGTAAATAGAATTGTGATAAACTATGGCACAGGTAAAGATTAAAACATGTTCTCACTTAAAATATCCATATGTGATTCAGAATCTACTGCTACTAAACATATGCTCAAATCATATATAGGACAAAATGTTTGCCATTTACACTTAGTTAATAGTTAGCAATATAGCTAAATGCCAGTGTATAGAAATCAGGAAATTAATATATTTATGTAATTTTTTACCCATAATTTACACTTATACATGTAAATATAAATGAACTAAAAAGACTAACGACTAATAGTGCATATGAAAGCTAGTATATTTATATATAACTGATTTTTAAATTGAAATTTTTTTTAAACTCACCTGAGATGAAAGCTTAAGTGAGTTTTTCTGATCACCCGTTGTCAGTCGTCCGTCTGTAAACTTTTCACATTTTCCACAGAACAACTTGGGAAGATTTATTATTGACCCCACAATATTTATGTTTTTTTCTTGATTATCTTCCCTTGTAAGGGGAATCGCCCTTCATTTCAACAATTGAATTCCTCTTCTATTCCTGGTAAAATTTAATCATATATCAGTAACAGTTATGATATAAATTCTAAATAAAAATAAATTTAAATTATCCTCACGTTTTCGCAGCGGGCATTGCGCTTCATGACCTATATACTGTCTGCATAACACATGCCATTAACAGAGGAATGGTGGAAATTCAGATTAGGAAAAAAATCTTAGTTTTTGGAAGTAAACAAGTGAAGTAGAATAGCAAAATGGATAAAATTATGGATATTTACAAATAATAGATGCATGCTGCATTGAAAATTACATTATTTTATTGAAGACATCACAATAGATCCGAGTACAATAAACTAATGATGATAAACCCTCACACAATCGGTTACACGGACCTATACCATAGCGAATTTCATAGGACATTCTATCAGTGTTGCCAGTAGGACCGATGATTTTTGGAAACTCTGCCAAATCGTGACCTCTGGGGGTAGAACAGGGCCACAATAAGTATTACAAGGGGGAAATATGATAAAGAACTGCATGGCTAGATTTACTCATGTGAGCTATGTCGCCCATGGGCCTCTTTTTATGTTAGTAAAGGTTTGAAGTCTAAATTAGAGTTTTTGAGGAGAAAATTCAATGCCAGCCAACAGAAAATGCATGCTCAAAGAAATGGCCATACCGCTTCTGCCATCACCAAAGAGATTGAGAAACCAGAGGTAAGGACTTCTGATTAAAGACGAATTACTTATATATTGTATACAAATGCTATTTCACCATTTTTATTGGCATCATCTGTCTATTAGATTGAAAAATACTTGAACCTTGTATTTTTTTGTGAATGGGTTTTGGTTCACAAAGCATCAGGTGAAGGGTAACAAAAATTATGAATTTCATGATCTTTGCCTATCTCGGTCCAGAGAAGTGGAACCAAAACCAATCATATTAATGCAGTCTTAGTGTTACCCTACCCTAACTACTGAAATTAATCTAGTCTTAGTGTTACCCTATTTATAAGACAGTGTAGATTCAAGTTTGTGCAAATGATAACCTCCATGGTAGGGTGGGGTAACAATGGGCGATCTGAGTTTTACATATAAATATATGAAGGAAAAGGCTCTAAAGATTTTGTTTTAAGAACAGCAAAGTTATGATTTGTCTTATTGATCTGAAAGCATCCTCAGGGAGAGTAGATCCAACCCTTTATAATAAAGATTTAAAAATCTGCTCAAAAACAGCAAATCCTTTATGGATACTGATAGGAAACATTTCAAAAATGTTAAATTCAAGCCCATGTGTAAACTTTTATATGCTGAATTTATTAGTGCCTTTTCCTCCCTACTTTAACCTTCTATTTTGAAAAAAAAAATACTTTATTGAACACCAGAAATTGGAAATACGTTTCCTGGATCAAAAAGAAAAAAAGAATCCAGAGATTGTTTAATGGGGGAGAGGCTTCCCTGATCTTGACAGTGGAGAGAGATTCTACCATGGAGGCTTGGTTGCAGTGCATAAGAAAGAAATTCAAGACAGCCTTCACCATGAAGCCTATGAGGCTTGAGAATAAAACCTATGTAGAATTACCGGAGGATCTGCAATTGGAAGAATTAAAGAGAAGATCGAAGGGGAAGAAGAAGTATTATGGGTTTTATGTGAAAATTCATGCCAGTAAGTGTGTTTGTGTATCCATGAATGCTAAATTTATAAGTTATTATTTTTATAGTAGAGTCCTCTGAATAGCAGACTATCTAGTAACTGTAGTTACTGCCTGCATGAGCAATGTTTTTCTTTGAATATTATAGTTACATGCCTTCAAAAAATTTAAACCCTTTGGACTTCTGGTTTCTCACAAGGTTGAACTTTGAAGCGGCCAATACAAACTTCCAAAGATCATTAGTCCTTCAGTTGAGAGATATTCATCATGGTACATGTATTACATATCATATCCAACTGGTAATGTCCAAGGGGTGTTTGAAAGAAATGGTTTGACTTAATTTTGAATACAAAAAAAAGTTATTGCTGTTGATCCAATCATGAATGTATTTAAACCTGAACTGTTCGGGGAGCAAAATTAAAACATCAAAGGGATTATATGAAACAAACACTATAAAGGCAGTAATGAACCCCAAATAAATGTTGATAAAAACATTTTGTTTATTTTTCCACAAGTGGTGACTGCAAATAGCAAAGAAATGCACACACTTTCTAGATCTGATAAGACAATGGCTTCAATAGCAAAGGCATGATATTACTTAAGATAATGAAATTAAATTTTTCTGTTGCATGTTCAATTAATGAATTCTAAGAGAAGCTATATCTCTGGTCTTATTTATATCTTTTTACAGCAATCATTTACCTGTATCCAGTTACATTTAATGTTAAAAGGTGGAAAGCACTTGTTTTAATTTCGATTTGTGCACGTAGAAAATTTAAGAATTTTTGCTACATACTTGGGACATTATTAGTTTGTAGTTGGAAAATGAAGTCAATACTTATTTAAGTTTCAAACAATTTTAATTACAGCACGAGGAAATGTTGTAAAAAATGTCATAAAAGTAAGAATTATTTAGTTCCAGTTGATTGATTTTTATTATACCCCCCGCAAACGAATTTTAAGGGGGATTCCACCATGTTCGTCCATCCGTCTGTCTGTAGATGAGGTTTTGTCCAGACTATAACTCAGAAACTATTGCAAGGATTTGTCTGAAAATTTGTACACATCTTATTCACCATATGAAGGTGTACACCTGATATTTTCATCTTGATTGGATGATTATATTGAATTTTATAGGTCTTTTATAATTTTTCTTTTGTGGTTTTGTGTAGACAGTTTCTCAGAAATATTGCAAGGATTTATCTGAAAAGAGCAAGAGCCATCTTATGCATAAAATGGCCCTGTACTTATATAAATTTATTATCACCCTCTTTCCCAATTCATATATCAAAAAAAGAAGTAGACACTTGGTGCTTTCATTTTCTATAGTAAGATTTCGTTTTGAGAATCCAGATATTGAAAAACAGGTTGGAGAAATTGCAATGTTCTTGAAATTTGCAGAAAACATGCATATTTGACTACCTTCAGCAAGGAATTAAAATATGAGCACAGCACACGATCCAAAAAATAAAACTTGTTTTTTGATCTTCAGAAATAGAGCTTTCATTATGTAATTGCATTTTTTGGATCAGAGGTTGTGCTCTATATGAAATATTAAAATGCTCCAACTTTAGGTCATTTTTAAAGGAATTTTCAGGATATGAGGAAAATGACGCATTTTATGATGTCATAATACATTGACTAGATGGGAAATTACGTCACAATTAATAGATACGTGGTCACCAACACTCCAAGTGATAAATACTGCATTTGCAACCTAAACCGAGCGGTTTGATTTTTCAGAAATTCTCAGGGCCAAATAAGGCCCAAAGTGGCTCTTGCTCTTTCTACACTTATTATTCACTTTATGATGGTGTGCACCTGGAATTTTCAACTTTAATTGTCCATTTTCCTGCATTTCACAGGTTTTATTTTTTAGTTTCATTGACTTTGGGCTCATGTATAAGGTTTGAGACATAGAATGTAGAATATCTGTACAAAAATGTGAACTACAGCTTAAAACTACTCATTAAAACTAAAAAAAAAAAAAAAAGAAACATCATCAAGTGCTAAAAACGGTTTTTACATTACACAGAAGATAATGTAAATTCATTTGTTTCTTGGGAATAATGACTGGATATGCATCCAGTTAAAGATAAATTAATGAGTTTGGTGTGGGAAGTTGTTGAGGCATCTCTTATCAAGATCTCCTTGGAATTCGGCACAAGAATTATCTCTCTTCTCTTATTCTCTTAATTGTCATTTATTGTCTTTCAAAATACTTCATTACTGGATGACCAGCTCTTCATTTTCAAAATGAATTCGATATAAAGTTATCAAGATTAATTTGATTTTGTATAATATGATTTTTTTTTCAACAATCAGTATGCATAGTGACACATTGCAATATATTTTTTTAATGCAGAAATAAAAAAAAATGTTACAATGGAATTACAATATAGTAGTATTTATGTTTCATTCATTAAAGAAACATGATGAACAATTATATTTCACTGCAAATCAATCTGATTAAAATTAGATCCTTTACGCTCCTTGTATTTTGTTATGTCGCTGTAAGAATCCTTACAGCGACTTAACAAAATACAAGGAGCGTAAAGGATCTAATTTTAATTAGATTGACTGCAAATTTTTGTTTGTAAATTGTGAACACCTCTAGATCCATAAAGTATTTTTGAATTGGCACCTTCTCTGAAAAACCCAGCTGGGGGTATTTGTCCCTATTGGACAGTTCTAGTTCGTTTTAACTTTATATTTATAAATAAAGGATGACTGCACTTAATGGCCTAGCTGCTAAATTAGTGATAGAATAAACTGTTGAAACAGACGTTTTTCTTTTAATTTTAGGAACCGGCAACTTCTAATCTATAACTCTACATAATTACAATGAATATCTATATGTATTTTAACAAGCTAATTCAGAGAATTCGTGTCCCCCGCTTAGGGAAAAAGTCGGCTCCCCCTGACTGAATTTGTAGAATTATTAAATGTATACATGTATACTGAAGGGAATAAAATACATGTATGTCAATATGCATATAAAGATTTGATTGCTTATTCTTTATTATGTGTATAGAAGATTTTTTCATATGGAATATTTATCACACTGTAGTGATGATTTTATAACCTCATAAATTTTTCATTTCACATGCTGAATACTATCATTCAGTAAAAAAAAAAAGTATTTAAAAAAAAAAAAAAAAAAAAAAGAACGATGCAACCGAGACTCGATCCCGGGCCCTCTCACATTTGAAGCGAGAGACATAACCACTAGACCACGGAGTCGCTTCACTCAGAATGAAGTATATGCAGAACTGAAGTCACATACATGTATATAATTCATGTTTTCATGTTCGGTATTCTCAAAATTTTACACAATCCATGGTGTTTGATTTATTTAGCCTTTATTAAACAGTTCTAATAGATGTAATAAGAACATAAAGTCCGCCGAGAATCTGTTTTATACGCAATAACTCTCCTCATACTTCTGCGCTAAAAATAGCGACATGTAATACTATAAATACTAATAAAACAAACGGGGCGGGGCACTTTGAGAGGGGCGAGAGAGGTCCTAGGGAGTTTTGGTATAAAATTACATTGCATAAGCTCAAAATCTTCCTGAAATATCGCCCGGAAATGATAGTGTTACACACAGACAGAATGTGTAAATTTACGACCTTGAACTTTGACCTTTTGACCTCAAAATCAATAGGGGTCTTCTTTAGGCCACAGGGAGTTGTTATGTAAAATTTCATTGCAATAGCTCAAATGGTTCTAGAGATATCGTGTGGAAACGAAAGTGTTTTAACAGACAGAATTTGCTTATTTATGACCTTGACCTTTGACCTTTTGACCTCAAAATCAATAGGGGTCTTCTTTAGTCCACAGGGAGTTGCTATGCTAAATTTCATTGCAAAAGCTCAAAGGGTTCTTGAGATATCGTGTGGAAACGAAAGCGTTACAGACAGACAGAAAGACGGACGGACGGACGGACAGACGGACGGACGGACAAACCCAAATTAATATCCCCCACTTTTCAAGCGGGGGACAAAAAGTAAAAATCTGTTTTCTAAGGCGGGGTCATCACAATTTCTCCAATCTTCAAATGTATACAACTTGAAAATATACAAAATTGATTGTGATGTGAAAGGAGCAGAATTGATGGGAGAAGACCCAAAACATTGCATTAATTAAGTTCAGTCATTCTTTTTCTGATCAAAGATTAAGTTTGTCGTGCTGGTGTCTATGTATATTGAATATTAATCTCTAATTAAAGTATTCATGATATCAATTATCCTCAGTTGAGAGTTTTAAAAATAAAATTACTAGTATGTAGTACATGTAGTTGTAAAATAAAATTCTTGCGGGTAAAAGGTGATATATATAATATTATTAGTTCTAATCCCTTAAGGTAAAAACACAGTGAATGCTTACCTTTTTATGTTAATTTGTTATTTTCTTTCATTTTTAATTTATTAAATACTTTGTTTTTATGATACACGATTTTGTGTGTACGAAGATTTTGGATTCATTCATTTGTTTAAATGAAATGTTTGTTTATGGATTCTTTCACATGTAGCTTGCAAAGAGTGGAATACTGTAAAATCACTTAAATTTGTGGGAGTTACATATTTGTTGTTTTCAATGTTGTTTTCAAGGTTTGAATGGACCCACGATTTCATGTTCATCACAAAATGCAGAATGACATTTATACAAAAAACTACTTATGAATTCATCCATGAAATCAAATCCACATGTACCCATATTTTTCTTCTCAAAGCACGAAAATTGGTACGAAAATGATTCAACACTTTAATTTTTAACCTCTTATGACCAGCATTTTTTATATTTTTAGGGTGAAAACCCGCCGCTCAAGAATTTTAGGGGGAAAAAAAAGAAAAAAAGATTTTTTTCTTTCCGATGTAAAAATTTGAGTCGGGATCGAGATTTCATATTATGTAGATCAGCAAAGTAGATAGCAGCAACATAGCTTGGTTTATTGAAATAATTATGTAAAGGAGTGCCATTCAAAAAGTTTTACCCGTTCAGAGAACAAATAAAATGCTGACGACTTTGTTGCACAAACACATGTTGGTGAGGTAATCATAAAATAGCATTTCTTCCAGGGTGTGCTGAAAATCTTTTTGATGCAGTGATCATTTTCAACTTTGAACTCATCTGAAAACATAATTCTTGAAAAAATCACTCGAAGAAATGTCTTTTTCTGTACAATTTCAATCAAAGCTCTGAAAGTTTTGGGACTATACAACAGTTACTCCTTGAATGAAATAACAAAGAAGTCCAGTTCCGGTTAACATGATAATAGGTTGATAATTATTCAGCACAATGTCAAGTACTAACACTCCTCAACGCCTCATCGCATGCAAGATAGGGAACAGTTACCAAAACAATGGATTTACATGTTTTGCCTTAATGTGTTCAAACCTAGCAATGTTTATGGTTCATTGATACTCCGATAAAAGAATGACAATTAAGTTTGATACTGATATATGTTGTACATGTATACAGATTTCATGATCAGTCACAATTTTGAATGCTCATTAGAATGCTTCAAATGGTGCAGTTTTGTTCTTTTTTTTTAAAGGATCCAAGCAGTGAATCAGATAATGGAAGCAGCGTGAATGTAAGTAGCTGATTGAACAATGCTTTATACAGTATCAAAAGAACAGTTTTACAGTAATGCTTGGTTATACCGAAGTCACAGGGAGCTATGGAATTGCATCGTTTTATCAGCAAACCATTACATGTATCTCCATATACAGTCTGTACATGAAATAAGCCTAAGGAATGCGTTAAATTTATATATCTGGGGATCAAACATAACTTCTCTGTATCTGTGAATTCGCTATATCCGTGTTCCTACTAAACGAGTTTTGCTATATACAGTTTTATCTCAGATAACCACACAACATATGATTGATCCATACATCCAAATGGTTGCCAGATCTCTATAATTTCGGTGCAACACAAACCAATTACTTTTACAATTATGAATAACTGATTTTTTCCCTTTTTTTCTCACAGAAGCCAAATAGTCAGCTCATAGTGCTCTCTGAGGAGGAGTTTGAAGAACCTGTAAGTTGAGCACAAGTAATTTAAGGAAGTCTTAAAGAATATTGATCATTCATATGCAGGTAGCTGCATTAAAATTACTTTCTTATATTCAAATATTATTTTACAAAAAAATGTAATTTATAGAAATGATTATTCTTATAGGAAAAGAAACGACAGAAAGGCCCCAAAACAAGTACACCTGCCTCTTCACCTTCAACGGTATTATGATATTTTAATCTTGAACATATTTCTTGGTACATCAACCAATATTTTAGAATACCCAGATTACAGTTTTATTAGCTCACCTGAGCGGAAAGCTCAAGTTAGCTTTTCTGATCACCCATTGTCTGTCGCTAGACCATCTGCCTGTCTGTCTATAAACCTTTCAAATTGAACCAAACTTGGTCCAAAGCCTTCTTGGCTAAAGGAAAATTTAAGTTGTTAAAATGAATGGCCATGTCCTGTTACAAGTGGAGAAAATTAAGAAAAGACAAAATGGGGTGGGGTCATTAATGATTAAAAATGTTTTTCTCAAAAACCACTGGGTCACAAAAGTTGTAATGTATTTGAAAGCATCCGAACATTCATATTATTGATTCAAAATTGTTCAAATCATTACCCCCGGGGTTGGGACGGAGCAACAGTAGATATTACAAAGTGGAAATCTGGTAAAGTTACTCAGGTCTGGGATGTGGCCAATGGGCCTTTTGTTTTAACTGCACCGATAACGAAATTTAGATGATAGCTGGTGGTTATTAGGAAATGGGCAAACGATCAATATATACATGCATTATTGTAAAATGCATTGCATGTTCAGTGTTTTTAGGCCTTAGACCTTGTCAAATTGTTACATTTGGCGAACAGTGCAAGTTTAAATCTGATAAGAATTTACAATTTCAGGTTGATGTTTAATTTCGTATTTTAAAATAGGTACTTGTAGCATCTATAGACGATGAGTTACCCAGCCTTCAATCTCCTATCAAGGTAACAAAGTGTTTCATACGTACATTATATAATTCATATTAAAGTTATGTTCAATTAGACAGGTTTTAATTGTGTTTGTTTTATTGCGGTGTGACTGGTTTAATTTATAGATTTTTAGCTCTTCTGAGCCAAAGGCTCAGAGCTTATGCTATGGCCATTTGTGCGGTGTGCGTCGTGCGGTGTGCGTTAACTTTTAAGAATATTGACCATAACTCAAGAACCCCTTGGCCAATTATTGTCAAATTTGTCACAAGTATCCTTGGCCCAAGGGCTACCATTTATACTAAAACTAGGGGTGGGACCCTAAAACAAGGGGAGATAATCAGGAAAATAAAACCAAAAGTACTGGTTGCTAAAAAATCTTCTTCTCCAGAACCACCAGGCAGATTTTCACCAAACTTATATACAAGGGTCGGAATATGTTGAAGATTAGAAATTGTTCTAGTCATGACCCTGGGGCAAAGGGCGTGGTCTCAAGGTCACTTCAAAGTTGACCAAAATTTACACTTATTAAAAACGTTGATATTTTACTTACTATAAAGACTAGGATCATCAAATCTTGTAAGTTGATGCATCTCAGGACTTAACATCATGTTAATGCAAAAGTAGGTCACCATGACCTTTTTATAGAATTTTGTAGTTACATTTAAATATCTTCAGCCCTAACTGGCTAAGAATCATCAAACTTTGTCAGTTGATGCATCTTGGGTCTGAGGATAGATTATATGATTTATCAGAAGAGCGATTCAAGGCCCTTGGGCCTCTTGTATGTGATCCTTATTGATTTCCCTTGGTACTAAGATATTTTTTCAATTAAATTGAGACTTTTAGAAATATATAAAAAATAAATTTCATTCACAGATCTGCTGTACAAATACTTAATGAATGATATACTTTCACCGAGAGTTATCAAATTACTCCTTTGTTTACAGAGAGAAAAGAGAACATCCAGCCCTGGACAATCTTTAGTAAGATTACAAAACTCAGTCTCACTAAATTTGTTTTGGTTTAACAACCTTCACCCAACGCAATCCCCATAGTTTGAGTCAATTTTCAAGCAATTGTTTGTTTTTTCATTTATTTTATCTGAAAGTGTCAATAGTGTGACTCAGGGGTATGAAGTACTAAAGCTGTGATATAGGGAACTATAGATACCTTGTGTTATTATTATGTTATGGGTTAAAGATTTAAAAAATGAAAGAAGTGCCTGTGAGTATCATTCAATAAATTCTAAAACATTTACACTCATTTATGGTTTACAACAACAGCATATCACTAATATCCATCTTTGTAAAACATTAGGAAGATGTACCGGTACATTGTACTAATAGATTTGGGAAATTATATTTTATATTAATAAAAATTGGCTTAATGTAGGTCAATGGCACCCTCAGTAGATATACTCCATGTATTTTCTGTCAATAACTGTCATCAATGGTCATTATAAATGCTTATTGACCTACATTGAGTCCAATATTTGTATAATAATGTTTCTACTTGCAGATTAAGGAAGACAGTGAAGAGCTGCCAGATATTCCTTTACCTATGACCTCAAAGGTACATGTATGTCAGGGTTCTCCACAAGGGGTTTTACCATGGCGGCCCGCCATGGTTAAATTTATGTGCGCCATGGTTAAACGAGCTGTGCCATGGTTAAAATCGACAGCCACCATGATTAGATTCTATTGCATTTCAGTACGGACTCCTACTTTTTAATGACTTGAGTAGTTAATTGTGTTTATACTACGACTGCCATGCACTCGCACGCCTCGAAGGAAAGGGACTGTGCTAAACAAACACGTCGTTAATCGGTGACTATGCTGTGAAGCGTGACAATCAATGGAGAGTCAATCAGCTGATCAGATAACCAATATTTGAGAGTTTATTATCCTGTACACATGTAAATAATTTTGGGGAAGTCCGAACTTCAACATCTTTACTACATGATTAGACAACGGATTTATAGAAGATGACAATTACGAGCACAATAATCGTCATACATGTTGTGTCAGAAAAATAAATACTCTGAAAAAAATTCATATTCCTCTGTAGTTAATCAATTTCTCATGCTCTGTTTTCTTAGCTTTAACTTTATATCTTTTTGATAAAATAAGCATAGGACCTACGTCTCAATCGCCGTCTTAGCAGGCTTAGTAGTAATCGCCGGTTTAGTCGTAGTTTTTAGAGTTACTTCCCGTTGTTATGAAACGTCGCGTGGCGCTATTTTTAGCATTGGGCATGTGGAAAAGTAAACAAAACTTGGTAAAAAATGCAATATCTAGAAAAATAAAACGTTTAGAAAACAGGGATATCAGTCCAAATGTTCCTTTGTGTGTTAACTTACATACTACCCAGTCATCAGTTTTAGTTATATTTACACAAAACATTTCATACAACAGGCTTCAGTTCTTAAAATTAATGATTTAATTCTGAAAAATATTGCCATGGTTACTGACTTACTGTATCAACAATTTTTCTTTAAATTACTTCAGAAGGTTACTACAGTTTTGGGAAAATTTTAGTACATTTGTTAAGTAAGATACAAGATAATTCCTTTTCAATTTAATTATTTTTTTTAATTTTAAAAAGTGATAGTTGTTCCATTGTTTTGTGTTGCAGTGGTTAAGTTTAAAAATTGTAAAACCAATCATTGATTAATGAAGATTTGGAAGTCTAACACGTATTTGTGTTTTCGGCCACATTTCGCCTTCACGCAGCTTCCTCCATGGTTAAATTTTCAAATGTGGAGAACCCTGTATGTGTGTGTAGGTGACATTGTACATTTATTGACTGTCTTCTCTGGCAACATGTGTTCTGTTGGACCCAATAACAAAGTTGTTTGCCTGAGGCAATTTGGTTCCGATGGAGGGTTGACGAAACACATTCTGCTCGAGAACACAGTCAATAAATCTTTTTGTTTACTTTTTAGCTCACCTGAGCCGAAGGCTCAAGTGAGCTTTTCTGATCACATTTTGTCCGTCTTCCGTCTAGCTGTCTGTCTGTCTGTCTAGCTGTCAGTCTGTAAACTTTTCACATTTTCGGCTTCTTCTCAAGAACCAATGGGACAATTTTAACTAAACTTGGTACAAAGCATCCTTGGCTGAAGGGGAGTTTAAATTGTTTAAATCAAGGGCCAAGTCCTCTTACAAAGGGGAGATAATCAAGAAAAGACAATAATAGGGTTGGGTCATTAAAAATCTTCTCAAGAACCACTGGGCCAAAAAGATGAAACTTATGTGGAAGCATTGTTGTGAAGTGTAGATATTTAATCATGACCCTGGGGGGTAGGGCGGGGTCACAATAGGGAATCCAAGTTTTACATAGAAATGTATAGAACAAATCTTTAAATATCTTCTTCTCAAGAACCACTGGGCCAGGAAAGCTGAAACTTACGTGGAAGCATCCTTGGGTATTGCAGATATTAAAATCATGAGCCCCGGGGGTAGGGCGAGGTCATAATAGGGAACCCAAGTTACTGAGGTGAGCGATATGGCCCATGGGCCTCTTGTTTTTTTTGACAAATCTTAGAGTAAATTTTGTTTACCCGCACTTTAGTTCTGTTGAACTCCAATAAGATATTCCGGTACTTGATTCCCCCACTCTGTGATGTAAGCGGTCCAACAACTCATCAAAAGGTCGAACATCTCGCTCTCTGGTCATGCATTGATTTTTTTTATCCGCTCATTAAAACATAGGAAATATTAAGCTTATTTACGTATACAGTTGTAAAGGACAATTTTAAAGGTATAACAACATGTGATTTAATACATGTTTAATGTAATGTAATGCTGGATTTATTTGACAATTAAGGACACAGATGAAACAACAAATACAGACGATTGGACATCAGATATTGAAAATAAGGTAATGATTTCTGGCAGGTTTAATATTTGCTTATTTTAAAGACATGGAGTTAAACTGTATAATATATTGTGGTTATTTATTGTTAATGTATATTCATCTATACAGATGGATGAAGATGATGTATTGAAAGACTTTGAGGAGGTATGTATTGGTTACTATTCAGATACTCTGTGTGTGTGAGGGTGTTTGTTAGTGAGGTTATGGGTATCCATAGACAAAGATTCACAAACTACCTAGAAAAATGCAATACACATGTAATTGAACTCATCCGCCCCTGCCTAAGGTTGAACTCTAGATATGCATGTAACTTAGTTAAGGAATGGAAAGAGGAAGGAGAGTCTCAATAATTTTGGATAATTTCTTTTTATTAATAAGTACACTTTAACGTGCAAAATATACATGGAGCTCTATATTATTGTTAAACAAAATGCTTTTATTAGTACATTGTATTGTAATAAACAATAAAAGTAAGTTGTTTGGATCAATATTCATCATTAGAATTTTATTTACTGGAAGGGTCTGGGTACATCTAATGATAAACTACAAATTGTGTTGTCTGCCAGACTGTAAAATATTGATCTCACAACTTATGAGCCACACCACAATCTAGGCACGTCTGATCACAATGATGAATTAGATGTAGACATCTTCAAAATACATCTAGTTTATTTTTGTTCACTATATGATATCAAAAGCTTTTGGATGCATTGTCTAGAAATGAATTTTGACACACAATTACACACCTTCACACACTCAATGTAAAAAATTATGGCCTTAATCTTTGACCTTAAAATAACTAGTGCCTTCTTTAGGCCATGGGAAGCAGTTCTGTAAAATGACATTTTTTGAACATTCTTTGTGATTCCATCCCTCTTCATTGTGTTCAGATAAATTATATTAGCAAAATGCCAGTTTTTTTTATAACCATATGAATGCTTGGTGAGCTTACATGAACATTTATGAAATCCTTGTGGTAAATGTTTTCTGTCATTTAAAATTTTCCACTTAGATTTTGTTATTATATGTTTAATACAGATGATGCAGAAAAAGAGAGACAGACAGTCGGTAAGCATAGTTGTCTCACATTACAAGAGTACTCAATTACATGAATTTTCCATTTTGTATTTAATCATGAGAATGTGAAATTGTGAGAACCGACCATTTTTTTTTTTATACATGAACATGTAATTTCATGATAATTTACAAATGGCAGAAAAATAATTTCAAGACTAAAATCTATGAGGGGTACTTGTGGCATTTTTATGTTGATAATAATTCCTCACAATTAAATAGGAATCCACAGTATAGAAGTTACTAACATGCTATGCGAACAAAGCTTGTGTGAGATATCGTAATTGAATCCCCAAGTAAGCAGGTTAGAAAAATTAAGTCATATATGAAATACTTTTATTGTGTTTTTTTGTACCCGTTAAAAAGCACACAAGAGTTTCCTTCTCACAGAATTAACCCACTTTATCCTTAGTTTGTTGTAAAATGTTCCATTAAAAAAAACTATTAAATTCCATTTAGAATTTCTTGCCCAAGATCAAACCCAAAACAAATGGCAAAGAAAAAATATCATTGAACCACACTGAGTCTTCTACACTTAAAAAAACCCCTGCAACACACCCTCTCTACCCCTTTTTATATATTTTAGGTTACTCATAAAAGGAGACTTACACTTATCGAGGTCGTTGTGAATTTGATAAAAGAAAAGGATGAAAATAGTAGTATAACTAGAAACTCTTGTTGCTACAGCAACAAAGAAGGTCTTCCGTTCTCCTCTATTTATCTGTATGCAGGATGTTTTTTTCTATTCTAAAAAAGACAGACATATAATAAACTAGTAGACTAATTGTTCAGTGAACAATTATCGGCCTTTCTACCTTTTTATGCATTTCAATATCATTCGGGCTGAAAGAAGTAGAAAAAAAAGCAAGAAAATAAATAAAACAGGAAAATTCTCATTTCTCTACTAGGAGTTTAGATCGGGCTCGCAGTTGGTATGAATATACTCCAAACAGACTTCCTGGAGTATACGAGTCGACTCAGGGACAACCACGATTTCATTGATCACGCAAAGAGAGCACGTTCAAAACATTGTAACACGCTTCTAGGTGTATATATGAGCTTGAATGAGATTGTTTTCGAGTTAAGATGTAAGGGGTAGGGTCTGATTAAAATTACGATATACCTAATAATATGAATAACATGCATTTGATCTGCGCATGAAGGCGGAAGCGTAAGTGAAAACGTTGTGAAATGTCCCATGTGTACCTGCATCATATGTGCATTATACATGTATTAAAGAGATGTTTGAAAATATCCGATTTGAGTTGTTTTGTTTGAAATGGATGGCGATAAATTATTTAAGAGCATGTGAGAAACATAAGCGAGACATGCAAGGCAGTTTGTAATTATGGAAAAGGAAAACAGAGAATCGGGTTCGGGTTTTAACACTCCTGACCGACATAGGCATGAAATTTAATGTAAGTAGAATAAATAAAATTCGAAACATGTAATTCTAGATGGGAAACACAGGGAAGAAACGTGTATTTCTTTTAACTATGCTGAAAGTCGCTATTTCTTGGGATTGTGTTATTCTAGAAAAAAAAATCAAATTTCAAATGAAATCAAGATTCATTCTATTAATATTAAATCCGAATAAAATTGAAATAAATTCCATACACTAAAGAAAGCAAGAGTACTTGGTATTAAAATGTCGTAATAGAGCAGGAGAATCGAATGATATTAACAAACATTGCAAAAATAGCCAATACGGGCTTTAATTAATTTTTATGCTCAGCAATACAAAATTTCAGACAGAAAAAAAAATGCAGATTTTGCCGATTTTCCCTAGAATTTCATTATATTTTAGAGACTCACCTTAAAACTCTCAGGACACTTTCTTGGAGGTCTTTTCTTGCTTTTACTTCGAATCTTATGTCAATATATTGTGTCGTTTGACTTGTAGACATTTTCTCTATACTGCTGTTGATTTTTTTTTTAAGAAAGGGGGGGGGATATAAGCATTTGTTAGAGTAAGAGTTGCAAATACCTCAACGACATTAAACTTGATTGTGACCTTTGGATCAATAGGGGGTCATTTATCAAGGTCAAGGTCATCCAAAAAAAAAAGAGAGAGAGAGATAAACTTGAGATTAACACTTGAAGCTGAATCTAGATAAAGGTAATGAATATTTCTTTATTACTTTTTGAGTAAGGGGTCAAAGGTCAAGGTCAAATATCAAGGTCAAAGGTCAAGGTCATTTGGATTTTAAGCTTAAATCGACAATTTACCTAGTCTTCCAATGACCTTGACCTACTCTTCAAGATCAAAGGTCAAAACATCTCATGCAGTTGTGAGTCATGTACATTTTCTCTACACCACGCCGTTCAAAGCGAGGTAACTGCAGTTTTTCTAAGCTATCTAAATTGCGTAGAAATTGATTTGGTAGGGAAAAATCGTTATTTAATAGATTCCTTCAATTAATATTCAATGTAAATAAAATTGAAATAAACGCTACATACAAAGGAGATCAAGAATACTTGGTATTAAAATTTCGTATTTGAGCAGGAGAATCGAATGTTATTGACAAAAAGTTAAGAAATACCCAATACAAGCTTAAATTAATTTTCATGCTCATCAGCACCTAAATTTCAGACAGAAAAAAATGTAGTTGTTGCCGATACTCATTAGAATTGCATTATATACTTCAGAGACTCACTGCTAAACACTCAGGACACTTTCTTTGATGTGTCTTCTACTGCAATCCTTAAATTTCATGTCGATCTGTGGCGTCGTTTGAACCACAGGAGTCTGAAGTTTTAATCGTCAAAAAAAAAAAAAAATTCCGGAAAAAAATTTTCCTACCCTTAACTAAAAAAACCCCAGGTCATCCAAAAACCTTTTAAACTCGTCTTTAATACTTGAAGCTGTATCAAGCTAAATATAATAAAGAAAAAAATAGCTCTTGGGTAAGGGTCAAGGTCAAAGGTCAATCAAACATTAAACTCAAAGGTCAAGGTCATGTGGCATATATAAGCAATTTAAATACTTTTCCAATGACCTTGACCTTTTGACCTTCATGTAGTTTTATTTCTTATAATTGGAAGTTTTCGTTGTTTTTATTATTTTTTTTAATTTTTGGTGGAGCTGACATATCTCAAAACTACTAATTAGATGCAATAAAGTAACGAAAAATAAATTGGAAAGAAAAAAATTTGAATTTTCGATTTTTCAAATCACATCCTGTGACGACCAGAAGTGACGGCGGAGACATTAATCCCTATATCTGTTGTTCACTCTTCAAGGTTTATTATTCATATAAGATTAGTGTCTTGATGTGTTACCATAACCAAGATCTGGCTATGTTAACTACTCAGTTTGAGGACAGGAAATCATGAGACCGGAAGTCAATTTTTAACAGATATTTGTAGTTACTCTAGACATTTGCAGTCTGAATATCATGTTCTAAAATCATTTCAAATACTCTTTCTCTAAAAGATATTAATAGGATAGTATGATACTCAATATATGCAGTTTTTCTCTCATAACCGGAAGTTGCCGTTTTTGTTTCTGGTGGGACGGACATATATCAGAACAACCAATAAGATGCAATAATGTGATGCCGAGAAGTATTCCAAAAAGAAAAGTTGAAATTTCTGCTTTCTTTGACCACTTCCTGTGACGACCGGAAATGACGGCGAACGATCTTAACCCTTATGAGTTTCCTTACTTATCAAGATCTATTACTCATACAAGTTTGACGTCTCCATCTCTTACCGTTTCCGAGATCTCTTTGTGATAACTTCTCATATTGAGGACAGAAAATCACGCGACCGGAAGTGAATTTTAAAAAGATATTTGACGTTACTGAAGACATTAGCAGTCTATATAACATATATAAAACCATTACAAATACTTTATGTATAAAAAATATTTATGGGACAGAAAAATACTGAAAATATGCAGTTCTTCTCTTATAACCGGAAGTTGTCGTTTTTGTTTCCGGTGGGACTGACATATTTCGAAACTACACATAAGATGCTATAATGTGATGCAAAAAAAGTTTCATAAATGAAAAGTTGAAATTTTTTGATTTCTTTGATCACTTCCTATGACGACTGGAAGTGACGGCGGACGATCTTAACCCAAATGGATTTGCCTACTTATCAAGATCTATTACTCATATAAGTTTGGTGTCTTCATCTCTTACCATTTCTGAGATATGACTAGGACAAAACTTTTTTGAAAAAAGCGGAAATCGGACATATCTGACGACCGGAAGTGAATTTTGAAAAACTGAAAACTGCATTTGAAAGATATTTTTACTCTCTATCATCCTTGAAATTTTCATAAGACTCTGTCCAGTCATCTCTGAGAAATCGTCAAAAAAAAGAAATTTCAAAAGGGGGAAAAAAATAATAAAAAGAAACAGTAGAATCACTATAAGGCCTTCCGTCTGAAACGGAAGACCTTAATTAATCCCCTGGGATAAATTAACTTGCTTGCTGCAGAAAATTTAGAGGCTTATCTTAATCTGCCACATGAAAATTTATGAACATCTTTGTCTGCAACCAATGTTTGTTTTGAAGTTGATGTCAACCCTGGGTGATATCTGCATTCATTGCAAGATAGCATGTTATGAAAAAAAAAACCCTGTGTAAATCTCTCTAAAAAAAAACATTTAATGGAGTTATTATGAGATATGACATTTTCACTGTATTATGCAAATACAAGGTCACTATTTACATGTTATTGGAAATTCAAGAATTATCTTAAAATTTAAAAAATACAGTTGTTCCTTAAATTTTCCTATATTTTTTTTTAAAATTGAAATCAAGTAAAATTCTTAATTCTTAAGCTGCACCCTTATATTTATACCCCTCAGCAGGGCCCTAATGCTGACTGGTCAGCTTTCTAGTAAATTTTAGTTGTCTACCTTAAGTTAAATATACATGTATTTGGAATAAACACTAGGTTAAATTTTTTTAGTTTGCAGAAAACACCTTCATAGAGTTTCCAACCAAAGGAGATGCACAAAAAATGCTTTTTGTCGTGTATGAAAGCCATGGGGGTATTGCCATAAATAGACCTTTTAAGCATGGTGACACAGTCAAGGTGAGGAGAAGTTTATGAAGGAGATACTATTTTATTGAACATTTAAGTGATGAAAAGTATAACAAAATTCAAACTAAATTGTATGCATCAACTACCAAACAAGATTTTTTTAAACATAATTTTTATAAGGTAACCTGAGAAACTCATGTGACTTATTGATATTCTTGCACAGTAAAACTCAGTTATAACGAAGTCCTAGGGACCTTAGGGGATTTAATTCGTTATATCCGTAATTCGTTATATCCGTATAACGAATTCGTAAAACTATATAAAGCAAATTCGCAATATACTTGTTTTCCTTCAAGTATTACTACCAAATATGTTAGGGAAATAATTATTACAAAACATACCGTCGATAACTAAGGTTTTATTGTGAATTGAATTATACAGACAATTCCATGAACAAAAATAAGTCAGTTCAATTTATCAAATTTTGAGATCTTAGAAAGTTCGTTATAAAAGATGTAAATTTCATTATATTTAACTTCAACGGGACCCAAAATCAGTTCGCTATATCTGTAAATTCGTTATATCAGAGTTAGTTATAATCGTAAAATTTTACAAAGATTTGTTAAGAATTTTGCCGGGGACCCGGAAAAACTTTGCTATATCGTGAACTCGCTATATACGTGTTCGTACTAAACGAGTTTTACTGTATTGTCATCATGCGAGATGTGTTGTGTGTTAACATTTGTACATTACAGCTTCATTTATACCAATTTCAAACAATTTTGGCATCATTGGTGAAGGGGAACATAAATTTTTAAATTCATGACCCTTGCTCAACTTTGGCCTGAGATGTGGGGGTAAATCCACTAGAATTAATACAATCTTTTAAAAAATCCTATTCTTTACTCCTGGATATGAAAAAGACTGTAAGCATGATTGTTATATTGCATTAAATCATCTACCTAAATTGTGAAGTTTATGGCCTCTAGGATAAAACACATACCAAATTCAATTGTTGGAAAGTTACTAATTATGATACTAAGGTGACCTAAAGGCCTGTGAGCCTCTTATTTTCATATACATTTATAAAATATTTGTGCAGGTAATGAAGAACTTAATTTTATGAGTTACTTAAATTGCTCTAGTTAAGTGCAAGTTATGAAACACCTAATTATGTCATTATTATTTCTTAGAGTGTATACAGCTGGATAGTTCAAGAAATAGATCCTGAAATTCTACCCCCTGTGTTTCACCTGGAGTGTTTTGCTCCAACAATGTGCAAGGATAAAGGCTGCCCCCACATATATGAGTTAGGCAACTCCCATAAAGTAAAGGTTGAAGAGTTGCCGGATGTTCTATACCTTCGTGAAGGGGTAGGTATTTATATACCGTCTTTGATAATACAAAGAATTTTAGTATTGATGTCATAAAGTCAGTCTTTGTATTTCTATAGTAAGTTGTAAAGGTCAGACGAATATGTTTTGTATTTCTAGACTTGGTTTTTTATAAAAAAAAAAAATTATACATAATTGTCAGTCAATCTCATCTGATTTCTAAATTCTACATTGTTTTCTAAATTATTTCAAATACAACATGGATAAGTTCACCAAAAATTGTGATATAGGCCATTCAGAAGATTACCCAGAAGGGTTAAATAAGAAACATCACCCTTGTATCTTATCCAAATGTCTGGTAAAGAACCCTTATTTTTGTATGGATACTTGTTTAAGGGCCTAGACTACAATAACAAATTCTTGGGAGAAATTATGTATTTCATGATATAATATTTAATATATATTTTTGAGGAACATGTCGTTTGTCACCTTTACTGTGGTTAAATCTAGATTAAATCAATTTGATATTTAATTCACTCTAACACAACCAAGAATTTTAAAGTGATATAAAATGAAAACCCAAATATGTGAAAACAATTGAAAAGAATTGAATTTAGAAAAATTTATTTACACTTTTTCAGTGTTTTGCTGTAAATGATACATTTACTGGTCTGGGAGATGTCCTGATATGAATCTACACATGGACCCAAACTCGGCAGCAGCTTTGACAGTTTTCTTTGCTTTATACACTGGTATCATCTCATCTCATTATACCCCCCACAAACAGAGTTGGGGGAGGGGTTTATATAGGAATCATCTTGTCTATCTGTCTGTTTGTCTGTCTGTCAAGCTGTCTATGCAAACGTGTCCAGTCCATATCTTTTTTATGTATCAACTTGGTATGTTCTTGTTTTAATTACACAAAGATTTCTTATGTCTTGAGGGTATTGATCTACAGTCATTGTTGTAAACATGGATATATAATGCATCCATACTTTCCACTAGTGAAATATTTTAAAATTTGGTTGATTCATTTTTAGCTCACCTGAGCCGAAGGCTCAAGTGAGCTTTTCTGATCACATTTTGTCCGGCGTCTGTCTGTCCGTCTGTCTGTCTGTAAACTTTCACATTTTCGACTTCTTCTCAAGAACCCCTGGGCCAATTTCAACCAAACTTGCCACAAAGCATCCTTGGGTGAAGGGGATTCAAGTTTGTTCAAATGAAGGGCCACACCCTCATTCAAGGGGAGATAATCGGGAATTAATGATAATTTGGTTGTATGCTTTAAAAATCTTCTCCCCAAGAACCACTGTGCCAGGAAAGATGAAACTTATGGGGAAACATCCTCAGGTAGTGTAGATTCTAGTTTGTACAAATCATGACCCCCGGGGGTAGGGCGGGGCCAAAATGGCCGACCAAAGTTTTACATAGAAATATAAAGGAAAATTCTTTAAAAATCTTCTTCTCAAGAATGACAAAGCCATAATTCATCATATTTATAGGGAAACATCCTCAGGTAGTGTAGATTCAAATTTGTTCAAATCATGACCCCCGGGGGTAGGGCGGGGCCACAATGGCCGACCAAAGTTTTACATAAAAATATATAGGAAAATTATTTAAAAATCTTCTTCTCAAGAATGACAAAGCCATAATTCATCATATTTATGTGGAAGCATCCTCAGGTAGTGTAGATTCAGTTTTGTTCAAATCATGACCCCCGGGGGTAGGGCGGGGCCACAATGGCCGACCAAAGTGTTACATATGAATATATAGGAAAATTCTTTAAAAATCTTCCTCTCATGAACAGCCAAGCCATAATTGATCATATTTATATGGAAGCATCCTCAGGTAGTGTAGATTCAAATTTGTTCAAATCATAACCCCCGGGGGTAGGGCGAGGCCACAATGGCCGACCAAAGTTTTACATAGAAATATATAGGAAAATTCTTAAAAAATCTTCTTCTCAAGAAGAGCCAAGCCATACTTGATCATATTTATGTGGAATCATCCTCAGGTAGTGTAGATTCAAGTTTGTTCAAATCATGACCCCCGGGTGTAGGGCGGGGCCACAATGGCCGACCAAAGTGTTACATAGAAATATATAGGAAAATTCTTTAAAATCTTCTTCTCATGAACAGTCAAGCTATAATTGATCATATTTATATGGAAGAATTCTCAGGTAGTGTAGATTCAAGTTTGTTCAAATCATGACCCCCGGGTGTAGGGCAGGGCCACAATGGCCGACCAAAGTGTTACATAGAAATATATAGGAAAATTCTTTAAAAATCTTCTTCTCATGAACAGCCAACCTATAATTGATCATATTTATATGGAAGCATCCTCAGGTAGTGTAGATTCAAGTTTGTTTAAATCATGACCCCCCGGGGTAGGGCGGGGCCAAAATGGCCGACCAAAGTTTTACATAGAAATATATAGGAAAATTCTTCTCAAGAATAGCCTAGCCATGATTGATCATATTTATAGGGAAGCATCCTCAGGTAGTGTAAATTCAAGTTTGTTCAAATCATGACCCGGGGGTAGGGCGGGGCCACAATGGCCGACCAAAGGTGCTCAGGTGAGCGATGTGGCCCATGGGCCTCTTGTTTTGAGTATTTTGACTTCCGTGTCATTTTTGAATGCTGGAAACTGTTATGAAGGATTTATTTAGTACTGTGAATATCAACAAAGTATGTTATTGATCATGGTATGTAAAGAGACGATGTAAGAGGTACCAGCAACACCTTAAAAATTCCTGGTAAACATTGTTGTGTAAGCTTTGTAGATGGAGGTAGTGTAGCGAATGTAGATTTACTCCACTTAAGACTATATTTTTTTTCTTTGTGCATTGGTTTTTAAAAAGAAGCAAACAGCTTTAATTTTTTATACTCAATTATGTCATTCAATTTTGGGATTATGTCCCTTTTTCCATACGTTAATTATTGTTAAACTGTCATTTTTGAACAAGTGTTCAGTCACTTGTTACTTAAGAAGTGAATAGATTTACAAGAATGGAAACTGATAATTTCAGAATTGAAAGATATATTTCTGGGAACTTTAATCAAAAATTTGATGAATTGGTGAAATTTAACATGCAGGTTTTGTGCATCTAGTCAGTATTGATTTTGTTTTTCTTGAGCCAGATATTGTGTTTTTTCTTTTAATGAGCATGGAAATTTGTTAAATATTTTCTACTTTTTATTATTTTTTTGTTCATATTTGTTCATATTGAATGATTTCAGTGATGTCCTTTTTTCATCTGTTAAAAAACCCTTTCTACACTGCACGATAAAAAGTTCCGATTATTAAGTATTTCTCTGCAGTCAGACTGATCTCTCCTTAGATTTAAATACTAAAAATTAGAAATACAATATATTTAACACCATTTGTAATTAATTCAAGTATTCTTTAATAGGCAAGTTAAATCAAGAAGTGATTTCTATTACCGGTAACTGATACTATGTTGTCTTTGAACATATTCCCGGGGGTAAATGCCACACACCATATACTAGAAATTAAACAAGCACAATATTAACTCCTTTATTTTTTTCAATGTCCAAAAAAATTGCACTTGTGTAAAGAGGGTATTAATTCCTATGAAAAATGAAAAAAAAAATACACTCTTATTTTCACAAGCATACATTCATTTGGAACTTAAATTTGGTACTTATTTGAAGATTATATACTATTAAGTTTTGCAATTTGGTACTTTTTTGAACAATGTATACTATTAAGTTTTGATCCTTCTTTTGAGAATTTGATGTCTGATTAATAAATGTACTTATGTAAATAATTATTGTCGGAAAATTATCAAATAGGTTTTGTGCATGTTGGAACACCTTTTAACAAATTTTTTAAAACCAATTATTGATTTTTTTTATTAGTGCATTTAGATTTGTTTTATAACATTTTTGAGCAAACAAAAATGAAAACTTAAAATTTCAGAATGAAAAGTATCACTTCTGTACAGTAGTTTAATTATGTTTGTGAAAAATATAATTTGGATGAAGGTCTCATCAAGAACTGTAAATATGTTTGATACATTATATTCATAATTGAAATGCAACAGCTATCAACACATATTTTTATGTGATACATGTAATTCAGTTTTTGTTGTATTTCCGTATTTTAACAATTTAAAATGATTTATCACTGTACAATCTGCAAAATGACTTTGTATTGCTTTTTGGAAACAAAATTGTACTTCCACATTTTTCTGAACTTCATTAATAAAAATTTGTTTGTATTTCATTCCATTTTTTGTTGTCAATAGCAATGATCTGACATTTGAATCAGAACTTAAATCCACATTAAAATGTGACATTAATCATAAAAACACTTACGTTGGTTTATGGATGATAATTCAATTTGTTAACTATGTTATACATGATAGGATCTTTCTTTTGCAATCTTTGCCTTATCCATCCCAATCCTAGTTGTTTTCATTATTTCTAATGACTACAGTGGACCTTCAGATATCCAGACGCCAGATATCCGGATGCTTCAGTATCGCGACGATTTTTCATTGGAACGGAATTTTAAAATGTTATTATGTCCTGTTTAACTGGTGATTCAGGTATCCGGACACTTCACATATCCGGACAAATTGACTGGGAACCAAAGCGTCCGGATAAATGAGGCTCCACTGTACCTAAGTATGAATTTTATGTGGAATAAGGCACACTTGTCCAAAAATGTAATAAATTGGTGCAACCTTGAAGGCTTTTTCAGGTTGGAAGTAAGCTATGCATCCCATTCAATGTAATTAATACTGAAAGCCTTAAAGCTGAACACTTCTCATAAATAGGCACCTTCAGACGGGTATATAAACCGTTCGATTTCGTTACATTCAATTGCACACTCGAAACTCTTGGCCGACATGTAGCACTCCTTTCGTGCTCTTATATTTTTTGCGTTTATTTCTTATTTTTATGTGCATTTTCTGTGTGTAAATGATGTATTTACCCGTATTTTTCATGATACTTTTGTCCTATTGTTGAAAATATACGTAAAATTTGACAATTTCATCGAGATTGAGTAGGACGCTGTGCAAGGTGTACGTCTACACTCCTCGGATCTCTACAGTGAAATACATTGAATTGACAGGATAAATATTGATGCAAAGCATCAAATGAGCTGCAAACTGTTTGAGGAGACAAATTTCAGCACATTTTAATGAAGTAATACTATCTTACTTTTTTGACAGAGAAAAGTACTACATGTTGTATTTCTAGTAATAAAAAAAAATACCCGGTATCATAAAGCATTGTCATTTTTAGTTAGTGGCTAACTTTTTACCTCACCTGAACCGAAGGCTCAAGTGAGCTTTTCTGATCACATTTTGTCCGGCTTCCGTCTGTCTGTCTGTCTGTAAACTTTTCACATTTTCGACTTCTTCTCAAGATCTGCAGGACCAATTTCAACCAAACTTGCCACAAAGCATCCTTGGGTGAAGGGGATTTAAGTTTGTTCAAATGAAGGGCCACGCCCTCATTCAAGGAGAGATAATTAAGAATTTGTGAAATTTGGTGGTATGTTTAAAAAATCTTCTCAAGAACCACTGTGCCAGGAAAGATGAAACTTATGGGGAAATATCCTCAGGAAGTGTAGATTTAAGTTTGTTCAAATCATGCCCCCAGGGGTAGGGCAGGGCCACAATGGCCGACCAAAGTTTTAATAGAAATAATTATAGGAAAATTCTTCAAAAATCTTCTTCTCAAGAAAACAGCAAAGCCATAATTGCTCATATTAATATGGAAGCATCCCCATGTAGTGTAGATTCAAGTTTGTTCAAATCATGTTCCCCGGGGGTAGGGCGGGGCCACAATGGCTGACCAAAGTTTTAATAGAAATATATAGGAAAATTCTTTAAAAATCTTCTTCTCAAGAACAGCAAAGCCATAATTGCTCATATTTATATGGAAGCATCCCCAGGTAGTGTAGATTCAAATTTGTTCAAATCATGACCCCCGCGGGTAGGGCGGGATCACAATGGCCAACCAAAGTTTTATATAGAAATATATAGCAAAATTCTTCAAAAATCTTCTTCTCAAGAACAGTAAAGCCATATTTGCTCATATTTATATTGAAGCATCCCCAGGTAGAGTAGATTCAAGTTTGTTCAAATCATGACCACCAGGGGTAGGGCGGGACCACATTGTCATTGGCTGACCAAAGTTTTATATAGAAATATATAGGAAAATTCTTTAAAAATCTTCTTCTCAAGAACAGCAAAGCCATAATTGCTCATATTTATATGGACGCATGCTCAGGTAGTTTAGATTCCAGTTTGTTCAAATCATGACCCCCGGGGGTAGGGGGAGGGCACAATGGCGGAACAAAGTTTTTTTTAGTAATATATAGGAAAACTCTTTAAAAATCTTCTTCTCAAGAATAGCAAAGCCATAATTGCTCATATTTATATAGATGCATCCTCAGGTAATGTAGATTCAAGTTTGTTCAAATCATTACCCCCGGGGATAGGGTGGGGCCAAAGTTTTAGATTTAATCTTTTCAATAGTAAAGCAATTTCTACTTTTTCCTAGCCACAATGCTCAGGTGAGCGATGTGGCCCATGGTCCTCTTGTTTTTTTCACATTATTTTTTTTGATACAAATTTAAATATTGTAAAAGTGTGTACATAAAAAGTTTAGATTCAATTGTTTTTATTTGTGGGAAAATTTGTCATAAAATGTGTAAATAAAATGTTTAAAATTTTAATTGTTTGTTTATTTGTGGGAAAATCTGTAACATGAATATGTTTGAACCGTTATCAAACCGGTGAAGTTCTATATAGCATGATCAAGGTATTAGAAATACAATATATCGCAATACAAAATTTCTGGTCAAAACTCAGCCCTAGTATTACATATACCTCGATCAAAGTATTTTATGTAATGAAAATTTAAAAAAATTAAAAATTCAATACTCTAAGTCGTTTTCTGAGTTGTTGTCAGTAAATTCACTCATGCATGTTAACTTCTCAAACACAAAGAATTCAGTATAAAAGCATGTCGTATGAGGAGACGTTCTTTTATGCTGTCTTTTTGATACCTGAGTATTTTACATGCATGAGTGAATTTACTGACAACAACTGAGATCTCGACTTTGAGTATTATATAGTAAAAACATGTGTTTTATTTTCTTTGTAACTTTTTAAAAAATCTTTACTTCCAAAATATCTTTGACCACATGATAGAGCGATGTGTCAGATTAATATTCACATCCAGAAATAGGGGTGTTGAATGTGGAATTCCCTCGTTATTAACAAACTTCTGACGTCATGACCTCGGGATAGCTCTCGCTCGGCAAAAAAAGTGTAAACAAACCAAATGAATGCTCTTTTCAATTCATATTTCTAGGCATAATTTTCGCTTGAAATGCACCTTGCTGCATATCATTGTAAACTTGAGACACTATACTTTTATTCTATACCTAAAAAGTATCTAAAACATGTGAGCTATTTTTATGTTTAGCCTTGAAAGGGAGGTATATGAATTTCCTACATGTGCTACATTTTAGCCATTTGACCTTCACCCTTTAATTGTGGCCCGGATCTGGTTATCTCGTAGAAGCTTGGGAATGATCGAGGTCACCCGAAATCTTGGCAATGGCCCGGGTTAGCCTGGGCATGCCAGGGTATGCAAGCCAGGCTAGCATGGGATTGGCATGCTGCAAACATGGAATGGCCAGGTTGTGCAAGAAAAATATTCCTAAACTTTTTAGACTATGAAGAATACAATGGGTGTGTTTAACAGTGTAGCTGCTATGTAAAAGCTATGATCTTAAAGGAATTAGCATATCCGCTACATAAGGAGAGCTACCATAAGTAACAAAACCAGATGGTTTCATTAGATACAACTAATCCCTGTTGGCATTATGCTGGGCTAGATATTTGGACTGACGCCCAAAGAATCACTGGCCAACCATTAATCATTTATGTTTGGAAATTAAGTCACAACTTTGGCCGACTATAGCATTCACCTTGACCACACTGCCGTTCGCTTCAATTAAGTCATTTGGTTGTTTATTTAACTCTCTGTAACTATAATTTATTACATAGCTTACTGTTAAGTCATGTAAATCCCAAAATAAAATATTCACTGAAATCTCAATTCGAAATGTGACGAAAGAGTTCCCATAGTCTGTTTTTATCCTATGAGATGTTCAGTAGCCACAGTAGACTTGTTTCAGAATAACATACAGTAAAAAAGACTTTAAGAACTCTTTCATTCAGTCGAAATATCTAGCCTAGCAGATTCCAAACAGGAATTATAATTAAAATGTGACAAAACATATTTAGATTTTAACATTAAAAAATGGGGAATGATTTTGTTAGGGAATTAAATGTAAATTGAAATAATTGTTTTCGCATTAATTAAACTCTTATTTTTTAATATATTTTTATCCGAAATCTGACATTTATCGGCTAAGCTAGCAGTCTGTTATTCAAAGATATATTTTTTAACACCTAGCTGCTATGTTATCTACTTTGATCTTGAACACAGCCCTTAAAAGAACTATATCTACAAGACTTCATATAATATGACACAAATATATAACATTCATTAATTTATTCATTTCAATCAATAAATAAATAAGCAAAATTTTTCAATCGATTTCACTCTTGTACAGTTAACATAATAGAATTTTTATCAATCAGACTGAAACAACTATAATAATACAATAAAAGGGGAACAACTCAGGATTAAGTAAATAAATTTTCAATTTCAATAAAAGTTTATGACAATGAGGACTATGATGAAGAGGAAAATGGACAAACACTTGATCAGAATAGCTCAGGTTAGCTAAAAAGGAATGAATCTACATAAACACCGAAAAGTAAAAGGTCAAAAGGTCATAATTTTTCAATACAAAAAAGTAAATATAATCCTACTGTTCATGAATGCATAAAATTAAAATTAACTTCATTTTATATATTAACTGTTTTCTGTCAGTGACTTTGAACTTGTCAGACTACCAAAATTCACATATATGATCAATTATATATATACTGCTCCAATATATCTTTCAGTGAAATATACATTGCTTTGGCTTCATATATTGATGAAGGACGGTAATAGTTGCAGATAACATCAAATGCTTCCTTAATATCTTTATCGAAGTCATTTTCAAAACGGCACTGGCTCTTCAAAAACTTGAACTTCTCCTCATTCACATTGAGAGGATGGATGTAATTTTTACATTCTGGAGTACCTGAAAGAATTTAATCAAGAAATTGAAAATGTTCTTCATTATAATACCATTTAGATAAAGCTTTCAATGCAGCATTAGCCTTGAAAGTTAACAAAGAATTTCATTAGCTTTTGTGCCCTAAGGCCTTATCTGGCACTTAGCCATATATTAAACATTTATTTATTACAGGTACACTTAATTTTACACCTTACACCCAGTTTACACTTTTCCATAATTACCGGTAAGTGCAAAAGAGTTAATTTTAGGTTTACACTATTTACACCCTGTGCAGGGCATGTGTAGGGAATTGCAGCAAATATTCAATATGGCTGAAAATTGTACATACAGTAACACTTCAGATTTCTTTTCTCATATTTTATTTTACTGACAAGTATTTGATAAATTGATTGAGATGAATTGTGTTTAAGAATTTGGACTGTGTTTAGTGCATTTCAAGGAAAAATGAAACAATTGGTATTTTGTAAGATTTAAAATAAAGAAGTTCAGAAGATAAAGTCACTACATATTTTCAACTACATACTTTAAATTTGGGCTAGATACTTTGTTACTGAAGTTTTTGTGGGCGGTAATATATATATATCAATTTTTTTTTTATAAAATGATACTTGCCTTTCCATAAAATGTTTTATTATACATTTAGAAATTTGTTCATACACAAATCTATGAGGAAAGAAGTCTAAGATTTCTAATGTTTTGCTGAACGGGCATAAAAAAATTGATGTTGGGCTGTTGAGTGAGAAGTTGGACAGGTCGATAAGATGGACCATTTACGTCATGGAATGGGTAGAGCTTCACAGCCTCAGGCAGACAGTTTGGTTCTTGGGTCCGACAAAACGCATGTTGCACTCAAACTGAGTCAATAAATGTATATTGTTATACCCTTATAAATAGCTTTCTATATTATGTTTATTACTAATAAAAAGTCCAACAAAAGAAATGTTTATTACATTGGTCTAACAATTTCAAAGTTGACTGTCCTGCCAGTCCAACATAAGAATTGTACGACCGCAACGTCACTGCTACGTCACAATTAATTAATCATCGTTCAATATCGCCGACACGGAAATAGCCAAAGTTACAAGTAAAAACTGCAAAGCTTGTTGCTACTAGCAAGGTAAGGAAGAAGGGAAAAGATATGTTTAGTGATAAATAATTTATTTTTGTGATATAATAAAAATATGATTAATTTGGTTCTTTCTCACCTACTGTTTTATATTTCCTGATTAAGCCATAATTTTCCATATAAAGTAATTGATGAAATAGCATGTATTGATTAAATCTTAAGTGAGCTATAACAAAACATTTATAGACTGGGTATGAGGGCAACATATGATTTGTTGGACCTGAAGGTGAAAACGTTGCCCTTGGCCTGTGGCCTCAGGCAACATTTTCACCCTCAAGTCCAACAATTCATATGTTGCCTGATTACCCAGTCAATATTACTATATATTGTTTTTAAATGGATTTAAAAAATTGTTCAAAATTAAAGCCCATATCTTTTTCAAAAATTCTGCAAATATGATCCCCTCAGGTGGTTAAAATTTTAACATATGCTAACAGTAATGATTTGTATGTTGAAGACAATCAAGCGTGCCCATGATTGATAGTTCCCACCACTTACTCAGATAAAAATTTCCACTGCACATTTTTTTTCCTAATATCTTATTTTCTACATTGTATCAAAATGAATACATGAGAGACAATGAACATTTTATAAACCAGCTGTTAAGTATTCAAAAATCTTATCTCTTGTGATGTAAAATTTCAGTTCTTTTATTTGTAAATTTAGTTTATACAATTTTTTCACCAGCCTAATCTGGCCAATTTCTTTGGAATCATTATGATTTGGATTAGAAAAGCTTTACTGTTTTCCCATTAGATAGAAATGGACAACATATTTAGCTAATATATAGCTAACATATTTTCCTTTAAGTTTTCCTGGAATATTGTTAATAACTTCACAGTCATTAACATATTTTTGGGTGTATCTAAAATGAATGTTTTCAAATTTGTATATCTATTTAAATTTATGACAACTAATTTTTTAATTGTACATGTAACCATATCACATTACCAAAAATATCTGACCTAACATTTCTGGAACATGATAAAGTACTTCTGGAATTCCAGGAACAGTATCTCCCATTTTCTGGCTCCTGATGCGATGGTTATTCCACGAAAATTTAACTTCCTCCAATTCTGTCCTAATAATATCCATGTAACAATACTGAACTAAGGCCCTGAAAATAAACATGACAATCTCTTAAATTTACAGCCCCCAAATGCTCTATTTTAATTTGACACTATCAGTTTTCAATTTATACAAAATAAAACATTATGACACAAGTTACAGTGCTCAAATTTAAAAGTACTACACTTTAACTATTAAGATGATATAGCAAGCATCATTATACCCCCCGCTTGAAAAGCTGGAGGGTATATAGTAATCGTTAATTCCGTCCGTCCGTCCGTCTGTTACGCTTTGGGGTACCCATCTCTTATCCGTAACTCCTCTCATACCACTGAATAAAATTTGATGAAACTTTCACAGAATCTTTATTACATATTGCCATTGTGCACCTTCTATTTTACTTTTTGATCCGATACATATTTTGGGTTTCCCGGCCACAGGAAAACATGGACTTTTTCACCAGTTATAACCATATGGGAGGCGGGGGGGTATCATTTAGCGAGCTCATCGCTCACAGTACCTCTAGTTTTAATAACAGATATAATCAATCATTGAATTTTGATATATCCAAAAAGGACAACAACAACAATATTAAAATATCTGTAAACAAAGTGAGAAAAAATAAATAGAAGAAAACTTACCTATGTAATTTATCCCCAATTGTAAAATCGCCATTCTTTTCCAATTCCTGACAAAATGCAGATATAAATGAAGAAACATACCAAATATCTGAATCAAATATATGCCACTGCTGTTCAAAATTAATAGATGTAACATTTTTGTTTTTCAAATTCTTTACTCTTAGTAAAATATTGAAAACAAGATGTGTTAGTGAAACACTGATGCCTTGTATGACAGCTTATTGAAAAGGTTAAATTTTCTTAAATGTAAAGGTCAAGAGGAAAGAAACCACGCTGGTACTCAAAAAAACATTTTGGACACATAACTCCTTCGTAAAATACTCAAATATGTTGGTACTTATAGAAAGGTATTGATACATTAAAAAAACATAAACATGTCATAAAGTATGAAAGCCCTAGCTTCAGGAATTCAGAAACTAAGGTCAAGGTAAAAGATTTTGATGACAAATACACAGACAGACATAAGGACAGACCAACCAAACATATCTGTCTAAACTGTAGCTCTTACAATTCATAATAAAGGAAGAGAAAAGTAGCAGTATGAGTTGTATTTGAACAAAAATTGACCTTTGACCAGTGGAGCTAAGAATATTAAGCACGACACATATTCAATTAAAGGGCGATAAAAATTACCTTAAAGTGATTAATCCATCTATCTGTACACTTTCCTCTCAGAATTCCCCACCATCTTTCTATCCTCTACACCTACATGTATATGAAATTTGTCTTGTAAGCAGAATCATTACATTGCTGGGATGATATTTTGATGTATTGATTCTCTGTTTGGATAAGCCAACCATGTATTCACCATTATAAGTTCCATAACTTCTTTATCACTAGCTTAAAAAATGTATAATTGATATTTAATAATTATTTAAATTCAGAAAGTCCTTTAATTTTGGCATGCCATTGTACTTTGGGTAGGTTTAAATAGCTATGTAGCTATTAATACGTAGATAGAAATAGTCTTTGGACTGGACCTGGCCAACTTTAAAAGATTTATCATAGAGAAAACAAATAGAAATATTATTATATAAATCTATTGACAGTTATAATAACTCTTTTGATACCAAGTATAATTTTATGGGGAAACAAAATCTATAGTTATGAATTTAAATTTTGATAGAGGTTCAGTACAAAATGAAGATTCCATTCGAATTTCCTCGATCATGAGACTCCCTTCAGGTAAGGGAGAAAGAAAAATAAGATAAACTGGCTTTCACGTATAGCTTCCATCAAATAACAAGAATTCTTGATTTTCTTTGTAAGTTATTTACACTAAAACTTACAAGAAAGAATATTAATTGATATATTACTTACCTCGAATCTACGCTACACTACACTAGTCTACAGGCTGACGAACACGATCATGACGATGTTGATGCTGTGCGAATCCATCTGCGTCATTGGAAATCTTGGCCAAATCAAATCTCTATCTCTGGGAATCTTGGCCGGTTATCTCGTAGAAACTTGGGAATGATCGAGGTCACCCAAAATCTTGGCCATGGCCAGGGTTAGCCTGGGCATGCCAGGGTTTAAACTGCCAGGTACGCAAGCCAGGCCAGCATGGGATTGGCATGCTGCAAACATGGATTGGCCAGGCTAGGGTGGACGGCCAGGGTTAAAGATGTAAACATGGCCAGGCTAGGGTGGACGGCCAGGGCTAGCCTGGGCATGCCAGGGTTAAAAGACCCTGACCCTGGGAGTTCCAGGATGCAAGCATGGGAAGGCTAGGATGGACGGCCTGGGTGTACATGTATTATGGGTGGTCATGGTTAAAGCTATAGATTACATAGACCCTGACCCTGGGAGGTCCAGGATGCAAGCATGGGAAGGCCAGGGTGGACAGCCAGGGTGTACATCATGGGTGGCCAGGGTTAAAACTATTGATTACATAGACCCTGACCCTGGGAGGTCCAGGATGCAAGCATGGGAATGCAAGGGTGGACGGCCAGGGTTTACATCATGGGTGGCCAGGGTTAAAACTATTGATTACATAGACCCTGACCCTGGGAGTTCCAGGATGCAAGCATGGGAAGGCGAGGGTGGACGGCCAGGGTTTACATCATGGGTGGCCAGGGTTAAAACTATAGAATATATAGACCCCGACCCTGGGGGTCCCCTATGGCTTTCCATAATGATGAACTAGTTTGAAGTTTTTATATAGATCTATTCCATAGTATCAAATCAAAATTGCATAAATTTTGCATTTTTGGATGTACACATTTTGTCGGTTAATTGTGTGGCTTTGTCTTACTTAAAGACAACATTCGTTGAGATGAGCTCTGTACGTAATGTCTGATTACCTATGTTTACAACTTTAATGTGTCCTTTATTTCCACAATTCCAACATTCAACACTCTGATAGTTTGTTGCTCGTTTTACTGAATACATACATTTTCTCTCTGGTATTGTTTTTGAAAGGCGTTTAGATCTATAATGGTCGACCTTCATGGGTATATGGGTCTGTTAAGTACCCGAACTGATTTCGATTTCAGGTTTTGTTCAGCCATAGCACAGTTTATAGCTGCTTGCAAAGTTGCAGGGTTTTCACGCATGACCTTGAATTTCAATTTGTCTTGTAATAAGCCATCGACAAATATTCCGATCAATTGACGTTCAACTGAAGGTCCTTCTTCGAGACCTTTATATGCTTCTTCGGCCAATGACAATAATCTTTTGGCAAAAATCAGAACATTTTCTTCGGGTTTTTGGTGAACTTTTCGTAATAACATGAACGCATGCTGAGAATCTATTACTTCAGCAAATCGTGTGGATAATTCATTTTTCAAGGCCTTCCAGGTCCCCCTTGGGTTATTCGGGAGAATTCGTGACCTTTTCATCTGATAAATTGTTCATGAAAGAATATTTTTCAACTGATTTTATTGCCTGACGTCACGGCGTCAGGCTGTATAAGGATTGATATTTCCAAGATCCGAAAGTGTGCGATCATATCTAAAGAGCTAGATTTTGTGCAAGCTGATTTACATTGGCATTTTAAAAGAAACAGTTTTCAGAGAAAAGAATGATATTGCTGATGCAATTCACTGAAGTGTTTACTTCCTCTACTCTTTTGCAAGGAACAGATTTTTCCATGTAATTTGCCGTTTCAACATATCCGTGTATAGTTTTTTCTGCATTTCTATAATACTGGATCAGTCCATTTATATTCTACGAAAGGGGTGCATAGCTCTTTTTGCGCCAAATGTCACTAGTAAGCTCTTTGGATTGTTCTATTGTATGAATGGGTGTGCCAACTTCCAATGAAAACCTCATTCTAATGCCTCAAAAATTGTATCTACAAGTTTTATATCATTCTTTAAAACAACATATCGTATACATCAGTATATTGACATGCAACACTAAAGAAATGATTTTTCTAATTTGTTTCCCGATCCCGCGGTTGGTCTATTCCATAAATGGACTAGTCCAATAATAATAAACAACGCAGTTCAAGTCATCGTCTCCAGATGCATGATCTATTATATGTGTCTTTTCAGATACACAATAAATAAGAAAGCAGATTTTTAAGATTTCTCTTTACACCAGGCCTAAGGTGTAAAAAATGAATTTACTTATTTCATTCTCAATATATGATAGTGTCACTATAACCCCCCCCCCCCGTTAACAGGTCGAGGAAACTATTTTCTGTGACGTCGGAATAAATTTACATGTTAAGTGAGCAACCAACGTGACTGACAAATCGACCAATCAGCCCAACGAGTTGCAGTTTACTACAAAAATACTACACGTGTGTTTCTAAAAGGCCAATTTTTTAAATCGCTCTCGGAAAAACGTGATGCATTTTTCCGAGCATTTTACATACTTAACACAATATGAACATCATTATCTACTAATTCCATGCTCACATTTATATACAAATGATTTACAATGATAAAAATTAGGTTTTTCTCTACTCCATTGTACAAGTCCGTTTGTTGACAGTTTTCCCGTGACTATTCCTTGGTCCAAAAAACAATCAACTCTGAGGTGTGCTCACGTCGTATTGTCAATGTTTCCAACATATACAACTTCGAAATATATGCTACTCACGTTTTATGATCAATGTGCATGAGGGTTTATATAACAGGTAAATAATAATAAAAAAAAAGTGCAACTTAAGAATTCTTTTTCTTTTCTTTTTTTTTTTTTTGGGTTTATAAAATACAACTTTTAATCTCTGGTAACAAATAATAACCACGCAACAACTAATTTAACCAGTAACATGGCAAATTAACGAATATCGAGTTAAAAACTTGAGTCTTATTAACTTGTGAAGACTTTGTGAGTGATATTTCAACGTACTATGTAACAAGGAAAACTTACTTTGTTTGTTAATGTGAGCATGGGGAATCTTAATTAGTATCTAATCTTCGTATTTTTCATAACACATTTCAAAAAAATTGTTAGCTGACTTTGCAGCAGTCGTTTGAAATCGCGTCCTAAATTTCCTGACCCACGTGTTTGTAGTAAAAATAAACATGTAGTAGACTATCATGCTTTTCGGCTCGTTCACTGGATTGGATCATTGTTTGCTGTGAGCAGCTCTGTGCGCAATCGCAACAATATCCATATAAGATAGTTTCCTCGACCTGTTTAAGAAGATATCCTAGGTTATACAATGTAGCTTGAAATCAATTTAGATGCAAGGGAAGATCACTCCACTTGCAGACCCCCCCCCCCCCCCCACACACACAGAATAATAACTCTTTTGTATGCTGTGCAGAGATGATTCTTCTGCAAGTAAAATAAAACCAAGATTTCAATTACACAGGGTTCTCAAAATATAAAGTCATAGGATATGTTTTAAACCCATAAAGGTATTTATGCTCAAAAGGTTTATCACTCTTCATGCAGATAAATTGATTGATTTAGTCAGGCAAGCTTTTTAAAAAGCTGTTACTTGTACAATCTTTAAATTTGCCAGGATCCCCCTCATACGGTATTATTATGTTTGAAATCCTATTTGTACCAACTGCATTTGATAAACCTTTTTATTATATACCTAATGTGTATCACTCAATTTTACTGTTGATTTTACGCTATCACGTGACGTCGTGATCCGATTTTCCGGATCACCAACATGTTGTTTTCTGAATCCATATCACCACTCTCTGAAACTGATGACGTAGTACGCAGAAACGTGACGTTATTTTTCTTGCGCGTTAAAAAGTCCCTTGTTATTACGGTTTGTTTATTGGATAAATATTATAAAATTCATCTCTAAAGTTTTATTTTGCTAAATTTAGCTATTTATAAATGGGCATATAATAAATTTATCATTATAACAGTAACTTGATCCGAAGAGCCGTATCACGTCTCGTTGACAGGCGCGGATCATCAGATCAAACTCGACGCTTCGCGTCTCGTTTGATCTGACGATCCGCGCCTGTCAATTCGACGTGATACGACCCTTCGGATCAAGTTACTGTTATAATAATATATATAACTATAGAATCAAGACCGTCGAATTTAGTTTCTATTACAGTCGACAAGGTCGTAAAGGCACCTCCCAAGTCAAAACGGTTCAACATGTCTTGGTTGTCAATACTTTAAAATTAAGGTACAATAAAACAGTTACTTACAGTAGTCTTGAGTGTCTTTCGCTTTTCAGCGTGGAGAGATTTCCTGTTCTGGTCCTGGTCCATGGCACCAATTAATGCGTTATATATATAACATAATTAACAAATGTGTTTGGATTAAGAAGACCTTGTAAGTTTATATAGTCACAGCAAAGGCAAAAACAATGGTACATGAAAAGTTCAATAACAAAGATACTGGAGCCAAGATGGGGAAATCTAGAAGTTATTGTTTCACAAAGGTCTTAGAGCTAAGTTCGTCAAGACTCTCATAGTTCGTCTCGGAGCTAAGATGTTAAAAGCTCTCATAGTCCGTCTCGGAGCTATTGATACTCAGTGCACACGTCTTTTGTACAAGAAGCTGCATCATAGGGATCACGTATATGGTAATTGCAATTAGTAAGTCAGAGTGTCACTTCATTAATATTAATATAGTCTGCCCCTTACTGAAGCTCCGTCTCCAATCTGCTTATAGGGTACAGCAATGTCCACAGTTTACATTAACATTGTGTACCCTGCACATTCTTCAGTTAATTAGATGGCTGAAGCTTTGCACAAAGTCTGATTGGAAGTGTCTATGTTCGGGAACAACACATCGTAAAAACTAATAGTCCATCAAATGAAGACGCTCTCTTGTTATACCCAATCTCCCAGAGTTTGTAAACAAGTTGATTTCATACTAGAACAAGATGTGTTTGTGAAACACTATGCGCCCGGCGGCAACAAATTTAAAAAAACATATTTTTAGCGTAAAGGTCACAGTGAAGGTCATTGATCTTGGTGTCATTTGAAAGATCTTGATAAGTGAAATATGCATACCAAATATGAAGTCTCTATCTTTCATGGTTCAAAAGTTATGGTTAAAGTTCAAGAAAGCTATTTTTAGCATGTGACACAGTCAAGGTCACAAGGTCATTTACCTTGGTGTCGTGTGAAAGGGCTTCATTAGTGGAGAATGCATGCCAAATATTAAGTCTCTATTTTTCTTCGTTCAAAAGTAATGGCGAAGGTTAAAGTTTGCCGTCAAAAAAGCTATATTTAGCGTATAGCCCACAGTCAAGGTCACAAGGTCATTGACCGTGGTGTCTTTTAAAAGAGCTGAATAAGTGTTGTATGTATACCAAATATGAAGTCTTTATCATTTATGGTTCAAAAATTATGGCAAAGGTTAAAGTTTGCAAAATTCCTCTATTTTTAGCATACAGGTCACAGTTAAGTTCACAAGGTCATTGACCTTGATGTCATTTGAAAGAGCTTTATTAGTGGAGTAGGCATACCAAATATAAAGTATCTAATATTCATGGTTCAAAAGTTATGGCGAAGGTTAAAGTTTGCAGACAAACAGACAAAAAGACAGACAGACAGACAGGACAAAAACAATATATGCCTCGGATCTTTCGATCCGGGCGCATAAAAATTAAACCAAAAAGATTAAATTAGTGGACTAGGGTTTCTCGGTACAGATGTAGAGGCTATAATTTAAAGGACTATTTCATGGGAATAGTTCCGAGAGCTTTTATTAAGTCCCATCAAATCATCAGCTGTCAATGTAAGAAAATTAAATAAATGAAGACATTTTTAACTTCTCATACTCAGACAGTGTATAAAAACCACTGAACGCCAAATACAGTAGAAAGAATTTTACTTGTTTGAATTAAAAAGGCACCCTTGCAGACCAGACGCCATTTTACTGCATGGGAAGTAATAACCTTCGTATCAGATTATAAGCCACAGTGACATGAAATTATCAAGAAAATTTTGAATGTTTTATCACATGTCACCTAATGACGTCTGATCATCATTTGTGTTTCGCAGACAGATGTCCCGTTTGTAACTGTGGGATACCAAAGCCCACACCACGAGTCTAGAGACCAAGGACCGTTCAGGAAGGCGTGATAACACCTGTTGAACCACCAGCCTCCTCCCCAGTAAGCAGCACAGTTTCCATCAGTCCACCGATCGTTATCTCTGTCAGACGTCGAGAACTTCATGCCGGACAGATCGCTGTAAGGTGAGCCAGTGTGAAACATACTGTTACCTGAAAAATTATATTAAGCCTACTTTACAATAATGTTTGTTTTACATCTCTTCCAACTTGGTCTGAAAGTATTTGGTCGATAAATAGGTGAGGATATTTTTTTCTCAGAAAATATTATTTTCATTGACATTTGCATAGAAAAAAATGCTTCCTAGAGGTTACTAAATATTTGAGTCGAGCCATTTTAAGCCAGTCGAACGTATTAAGAGGGTAACCAAACGGTTTTTTAAATGGCCTTACAAAGCTACTTTATAAAGACATTCACGTTTTCTTTCATTTATAAGTTTAAAATCGTATAATTCTACACATCTCGCTCGATAATGAAGTGAAAATAATTTCTATTTAAGTACCTAGGGTTCCCGAGGCGTTCCCCGCAAGAAAGAGTTGATAGTTATCCGCTTCATTTGAAACTGAGAACTGATCGTACAATTCATACAGTCTACTCCCGTCCAACAGAGTAATGGAAATGTAGAGATTTGGGTCCTTTTCCTTTGTTAACTGATGGATTACGTCATTTCCTGAGTAACATAAATTAAAGTTAATAATGTGTAAACGGCATTATCCCGCTTCAGACAAATTTGTAGATTACTAACTGGATAAAAGCTAATCACATGACGCCATGAAATTTTCCGTATTACGTCGTCGTCAAGGAATAAAATGAAATTGGGCACGCGATTCCGTTCGAAGCGTTGTTATTGTATATAAAAATGGCGGCTAAGAAACGGTTTACGTAGGTAGTTTGATTACTTAAGATTCTTGTTACGATATTTTACGTTGATTGTTATCGAATTAAAAGTTGATATTTTCATGATATGCACAAAGATTTTTTTTTAATATTTAAGAAGGCCTTCAGCGGGATAAATTCGTAACACAGTCAGTTAGTGACCCAATACGGGGTCATACAGGTTGTGAAATGGAAATCCGTATTGGGACTCGGCTTCGCCTCGCCCAATACAGGTTTCCATTTCACACCCTGTATGACTCTGTATTAGGTCACTAACTGATTGTGTAACTGATAATACCATTAGTAGTAAATGATTATTAAACAAAGTTACATTTTAAGTGTATAGTCATGCTACCGGCGTTTTATTTTTGTATTGTCAAACTATTGTTCAGAATTCTATTTTGACGTTATCTCTGGTCTCCCTTTAAGAATTGACATACAGGAGAAAAATGAATATTGTTTGTAAAGTACTACACAATTTAAAAATCACCTGACCTTTGTTTTTCTCTTTCGACTGGAAGGAAATGGACGAGTTTGGATATTATTTTTTTATAATTTAATTAATAATTACCGATCCAGAAATCTTGCCCCGCGTCACCAAATCCATTTTTATAATCGTCCCATGTTCTATTAAAGCTCACGGATCCATTAACACGTTTTTGGATTACCTTTCAAAAAAAAAATATTAATCTAATAATATTTTTTTCAGCAATCCTTTTACATGATTGTGTGTGTCTATAACGGACAAAACAAGAACCAAAGGTATAAATCTGTACTCTAATGTAATGCGTCACTTTTTAATAAATAAAGGAATAAATACCGTCCAGCCTCCTCCCATCGTGATCATATCACAGTAGACTCTGACAGGGCGGGGGTCGGTACCAAAGGGATAAATCTCGTATACACCGGAATTAGTATGGTCATTTTCACGACGGCCCTTACAGTCTTTAGCTGAAACAAAAACAAATAATGGGAAAATGCATTTGATACAGGTTGTTTCTAAAATGATTTTGCAAGTGTATAACAGACACAAGTCATTTTTAAGTAGCGAATTAATCATAATTATATTATAGTTACATTGTAGTAAATATAATGATCCCATTCTTTGCTATAACATACTGAAAGTTAAAAATGGGCAATTTTTGCTCTTTAATTACATAATCGCAGGATTCTGTGGAAGTCTTCTTGTGGACAATCATCAACGCAAGGTAAATATAAAGATTTTGAAGAAAAAAACTATTAACAACAATGCCAATCGGAGAAAAACTTGCAAAATATAACAAATTTGACTTTTAAAGCCTTCCAAAGGCTTACAAATGCTATACTAATGCGTATGGAGGCTTTATTTTGTATCCGTATTCATTTTTGTTTACAAAAAGCACAATGAATATTCTCTGTTTCTATTTTAACAGAGTTTATTTAAAATGATTTACTAACCTGTCAAAAATTGTTATCAACCGAGTGTCCGATAACAACCGAGTAGCCGATAACGCGTTGAGCAGTGTGATTCCTGAGTTATTGAAATTGATATGTCGATACCCCCCAAAATTAAAATAAAAATCCTCATCCATCTCCCTTACGCATCAGTAACAGCCTTGATTTTCTTGTACATTGAGTTCACCAGAGCATTTATCTGTCTCATAGGATTATCATTCAAGCCTTCCGACGGTAGTCTTAATGGTTGAGAGTAGCTGTATTATTCCAAAGCCAACAAATCCCCCCGCCCAATGAATCCCACGAATTTTCGATTTAGGATAGAATTTACAGAATCCAGCTGATTTGGTACACGTGAATGTTTGTAAGGAAGTATCGCATAACACTAGCTACATTTTCCCACTGTGTGCATGCTAAAAACATTACGCATACCGCACGTACGTGCGCGTGTGATAGTAAAATCGACGTGAAGTTGCCAAGCTTGCGTACCAAATTAGAGCAGAGAGTTTCTGTCAGTATTAGGGTGAAAATATGAGTAGGATTGCCTGCTGTAAAAATATCGGTTTCAGTGATAATGACTTGACAATAACCGAGGTAGCATGATGAAAAGCCCTATCTTGATGTGACGTTGTTACGCGCCAACGTTATCCTCATGGTTGGTCGGAAACCTTTGAAGTTACTCTCTGACAACCGAAAAACTTTTCAACTATGGTTGAAAAGTTAAAAACAAACTGCAAAGCAACATGTTGTCTTTTTATTCACTTATGCAACTCAATTACTAGACCCAATGTAACTTCCGTCAGCCATGCCATGATTGCAGGAACTTTATACTGACCGCAAATATCGGAAAACGATGTCTATAACTCTAATGCATCTCTTGGCACTACAAAATGTGATCACAAAATTGTCATCAGCAGTATGCACGTGTATTTGGCATTTTATCACTTCCCCTACATGACACCATACATTTCATGGTTGAGTAATTTTGACCAGCGATTTTAGTGCACAGTAACCAAAATACACATCTGACCAATTTTCATAATTTTCGGCCACATTGTTAAATATTTTTCGCTATTATGCTATTATGCGTTTCTTTTTCCTTTCAGTATATTGATCAGAAATCCTTGAATATACCCTAAAGTACTGAAATCATACAGTACTTATTTCTCCCTTCCCTCGCGTATTATAGGCTTATAAAATTATTTCTTTTCAGAAAAATGTTGATATTTAATCCTTCATGATATATGTATAAAGTGACTGGCCGATAGTATTGATATAATACTGCTTCCGTGTATTATAGGCTTTAATTTCTTTTCAGAAAAATATTGATATTTAATCCTTCATCATATATGTATGAGGTGAATGGCCGATAGTATTCATTGATTGTATCATTATAATAAAGAATCCTGCAAACATTTTAACGCGTATGGTAAAAAAGAGATGACGGTATAATTATATCTGGCAACCATTTATTCAATTGGGAAGATAAGACATTTCAAAGTGAAAAAAACTATTATTTGTATCTTTTATTGTCATTACATATTCCGCTTTCCCTCCATTAAGTCATAATTAATTGTTTAATATTATTATATTATTTCAAATCATTATAATTACACAAAAATGATAATAATTTTGCAAAAATGATTATTTGCAATTTGCATGACTTTGCTTACTTCAATCATATTTTACTGGAAATAAAGAATTTCTCTGCATTTACTATCTTTGAGAGAATGTTCAATATTTTATTCAAAATGCAAGATATCAGATATGCTTACTTATGAAAATATTCCGAGGTAAAATATTAACTTCACTACATTATTATCCCAACAATTTTTCAGCAATTAGTTCCTCTCGGTCAGTGTATTGGCATCGGAAGCAAAATAAAATTCGGGGGGGGGGGATTAAACGGGAAATGTGTCCATTCTTCTACAAACACAAGAATCTTATTTCTTCCTTATTTCTGAGGAAGTAGCATCGAGCTTCTTTCAGCATCATTTTTGTCAATATACATGTACTACATGTACCAAGTATCCTATTTTGACCTAAACTGCAATGTGCTTCTTGAAAGTAGGGTGGGGGTGAGGAGTTTAACCTATAAGTCCCCCAATATTCAATTCCTACATTTCATCTACCTTTGAAAAAAAGTGCCCCCACGCCTGTTTTCGACACATATTCAATATATATTCAGATATGATGAGGATCCCAAGAGGAAGGGGGCCAGTATGTAGGATCAATGTTTTAATTATAATGTTAATACAGGGAGAAATCTCGAGAATTAAAAAGCCACGTTAAGCTATTGTGACATGGAAACATTCCCTGTTTTGGTAGATTCAGATTTAAGGTCAGACGACACGTTTCTCAAAAATACATAATTTTTCCTAATTAAGAATTCGTTATTAAAGACCATTATGGGTAATCTTCTGAATGGCCATATCACCAACTTTAATGTAACTGTATTTAAAAACATTTTAAAAATGCAGAAATCGGAAGAGAATGACATATCTGAATAATTGTTGATAAAATACCGGTACAGTTGTAGACACAAAACATACATTTGAGGAATGTGCCGTATGTCCTTAATCAGATTATGATCTCTCGGGATAAGGAAAGTCTTACTTAGGACTCAAAGTTTTACACTGAAATATGTAAAAAAAAAATTCTACAAACAGAAAGCCATGTTGACCCACATTGATTGGACCCATTCTTAGGTAGTAGATTGAAGTTGGTTCAATTTAGGATTCTCTCTCTAGGGAAGGGGCTACAATGGCGATTTTTGCAAAGGAATGTGTAGAAAAATCCTTTGTGTTAGAACAGCAGAGGCATTAGTTATATTAATGTAGAATTATTTTTAAGAACTTCCTTTAATTTAAGTTTTTTTCTTAGCCAATCTGCTCGGGTGAGTGATGTGGCTTTGGGCCTCTTGTTTTAGAGGTAACCATTTATATTTTATATTAGATAAGGACCTTGGAAATAAATCATTGAAAAAATAAATACTTAAAAAACGACAATATGAACATATTTTTTTTCAAACCTTGACAAACCAAGTCTGTTATCCAGGTCCCATTTTTATGGCACACGATCATTCCGGATCCTCGCTGTTCGAAGGAATTCATGCATTTAATGTGCATGCGTTTCCTTATCCCTATTCCTTCCCAGTCCCGTACATCCCACTTGGTATTCTTTATTTTATTGACAGGGATACCACAATCTGGCAACAAAAAATACTATCAAATTTACTCATCTAAACATTTACATAAACAAGAGGCCCACGGGCCTTATATGTCACCTGAGTATCCCGTAATCGAATTTGATTCGTGTTTTAAACCTGAGGACATGAATTTCACAATTTTTGAAGAGGCACCATTGCTTATCATAATTTTACACTTAGCATACTTACTTTGGTTACTTGATACCCAGAGGTAGATCAGATTAACAAAGAGAAAATCCATTTCCACTTTGTAACCACCCGTGCACCCCTCTCCACAGGAACCACTGACCCTGGGGCAACATATTTCAAAATTTTGGAAATTTTATCATGAATTTTATTTAATCATAAATTGTTGATTAATATCAAAGTGCAGATTTTAAAGCATTAATTTATATTCAGACTATGTATCCATCCCCCTCTTAATACCTCTGACCCATGGGCCCGGAAATAACCATTTTGGAAGAGGCAGATTTCTTCATAATAAATATGTACTTAGATCATTGGCATAATATTCAGGAGCAAAGGAAAAGATTTTCAAATAATTCATCCATTTTCATTATATAAACATTAGAGCCCCGCCCTGACCCAGGGGCCATGACATTCACAAATCTCAAAGAGGCATCCTTCCTCCTCATAACTATGTACATAGTCCATTGGTTTAATATCCAAGCGCAGAAAAGAAGATTTTTCAAAGAAATAATTCATTTTCCCAACCTAATCTTCATAGTCCCGCCCTAGCACTAACACCCCTGACCCTGGGGCAATGAAATTCACAATTTTGGAAGAGGCAGCCTTATTCAACTTAACTATGCTTTTGGTGAGTTTATTTAATGCCCATGAGCACAGACGAAAAATTTCAAAGAATTTATGCATTTTCTCTATATAATCTATATAGCCCCGCCCTAGCACTCGAACCCCTGACCCTGGGGCCATGAAATTCACAAATTTAGACGAGGCAGCCATATTCAACTTAACTATGGACTTATGTTATTCAATGCCCAGGAGCAGAAATGAAGAACTTCACAGAAAAAAAATCATTTTCAGTATGTAATCTATTTAGACCCGCCCTAGCCCTAGCACTGGAACCCCTGTGACAGGGGCCATGAATTTCACAATTTTTCTTCATAATTTCGTCGAGGACTAAATGCTTATTACAATCATACCAACAGTTTGACTGCTTGATGTCCAGGAGTAAAGAAGAAGATTTTTAAAGATTGCACTAATTTGAGAGGTTTTGGTCCCATCCCTCAGGCCCCAGTGGGGGGGGGGGGGGCGGGGGCATGGACCATGAAATTCACAATTTTTGTTCCCGCTAACCTATAGATGCTATGTGCCAAAATTGGTTGAAATTGGTTCAGCGGTTTCAGAGAAGAAACTGAAAATGTTCAAATGTTAACGCACGACGAAGAACGAAAATGGATAGCAATAGGTCACCTGAGTTTACTCAGGAGACCTAAAAAGCGTAACAGACAGACAGACTGGCGTACGGACGGACGGACATACCGATTACTATATACCCTCCCGCTTTTCAAGCGGGGGGTATAAAAAGTAAGATTGATTGATTATATGTTGTTTAGTGCCCCTCTCTTGAGAATTTTTCACTCATATTGAGACGCAACCACATATCGGTGTAGAGCTACAAATTTCGTCCTATACTCGGCACTTAGGGCCATTCGTCAGTGAGTGATCTTTATCGAGCCAGCACCTACTTCGATACAAAGACTCCGTTATATAAAACGGTCTCATACGAAAGACCGGACGTCATGTCCCACAGTAGTCAACCTTCGACGTTAGAATCGGTCCATTCGCGATCTGCGCTCTAACCATTGCGCCACGCGGGCATCATTTCTAAAATACGAAAAATACAAAACTTAAGGTGTTTTAAAAGTGGATGAAGTCTGACGAAATAGAGCAGCCTAATATACTGACGGTATGTGTACAGAAATTAGCGCATTCAAAATTTAATGCAATCATCCGGTATGGAGTGGTTGGTGTAGTGATAATTAGTGCTGCACATGTATTAAGTGAATTTGAAAACCAGAAGTCTCTGTCGAGACTGTAGCTCTACTGGTTTGCACTATTTTAAGTTTCTTTGTGTAGTCTACTTGTGTGCCAACTTATTTTGAAATCAAACTAAAACTGTAGAAGGAGTAGCATTTTAAAGGAATTTCACGGAAAATTCTATTTCTAGTAACCATGGCAACACCATTCATTGAAATCAAAAACTTATGCACTATTTTATGTATCTTACTGTAGTCTACTTGTGTTCCAAGTTAAATTGAAATCAGACCAAAACTGTAGAAGGAGTAGCGTTTTAAAGGAATTTCACAGAAAATTCTATTTTTAGTAACCATGGCAACACCGTTCACCGAAATCAAAAACCGATGCACTATTCTATGTACCTTAGTGTAGTCTACTTGTGTGCCAAGTTATATTGAAATCAGACCAAAACTGTAGAAGGAGTAGCGTTTTAAAAGAATTTCAAAGAAATTTCTATTTTTAGTAACCACGGCAACACCGTTCATCGAAATCAAAAACCGATGCACTATTCTATGTATCTTACTGTAGTCCACTTGTGTGCCAAGTTATACTGAAATCAGACCAAAACTGTAGAAGGAGTAGCGTTTTAAAGGAATTTCACAGAAAATTCTATTTTTAGTAACTATGGCAACACCGTTCATCGAAATCAAAAACCGATGCACTATTCTATGTATCTTAGTGTAGTCTACTTGTGTGCCAAGTTATATTGAAATCAGACCAAAACTGTAGAAGGAGTAGCCTTTTTAAGGAATTTCACAGAAAATTCTATTTTTAGTAACCATGGCAACACCGTTCATCGAAATCAAATATCGATGCAATATTTTATGTATCTTAGTGTAGTCTACTTGTGTGCCAAGTAATATTGAAATCAGACTAAAATTGTAGGAAGAGTAGCGTTTTGAAATATTGTTTACAGACAGACGGACGGACGCCGGACGCATTACTATCGCATAAGCTCTTCTGGTCTCTGACCAGTAGAGCTAAAAATCACATTCAACATGGAATTATATTTACATACATTTATATAGGTCTTTTGCCTATCGAAATTGATGAATAAATCGGGCTCGGTGTTTATGATCAAGACCTAATAAAATGGCAAATCAAAGCAAGTAAGTATAAAAAAAAACCCACATCTACTTGTATCAGACATATTTGAATAGTTATTTTTTCACCTTGGGTAAGAAAGTTTTTGTCTGACTGCGTGCTTGAAATCTCGAAAATAATTTTTTTGTAATTGTTAAAAATTAACGCTGTAAAGCTGCATTTAATCCTACAGAGATTTTCGTTCCATTACAACCATTCATTAGAGCGAAACTTCCATGATCGGAAGGTCGTGAGTTGTAATCTCGGCCGTGAGTGACAGCTGTTCCTTCGTCAAGCGCTCGGCACTTGAAGTGAAAGTTGCGGATCTTTCATGTGATACATTAAAAACCGATGTCCCGTGTCACGCCAAGCATTGGCACGATAAAGATCCCTCACTGCTTAATGACTTTTGAGTGCCGACCTTGTAGGTCACCTGAGTATCATGTACATTTGTAACAACTTTCCAACAAATGAATTTGGCTTTTGTTTTAAACCAGAGGCGATGAAATTAACAATATGTAAAGAGGCACCATTGCTTATCATAACTACACAATTATGTATGTACTAAGCAAACTTACTTGGCTTACCTACATGTAGTACCTAAAGGTAGATTAAAGTAACAAAAAGAAAATGCATTAAATCCTACTTTATAACCAGTTGTGCATCCCACCCCACAGGAACCACTGACCCGGGGGTCACATATTTCAAGATTTTGGAAATTTTATCATAAATTCTTTTTCATCATAAAAGGTTTATCAATACCAAAGAGGAGAATTCAAAGCATTTATTTTCGGACTCTGTTACCCCCATCCCCGGTAATCCTGATTCTGGGGCCCTGAAATTAACCATTTTGGAAGAAGCACCTTTCTCCATCATAAACATGTACGTAGGTCATTGCAATAAAATCATTAGAGCCCCGCCCTAACACCAGAACCCCTGACCTACGGGTTCTGAAATTCACAAATTTGAAAGAAGCATTCTTCCTCATCATAACTATGGACATAGTTCATTAGTTTATTACCCAGGTGTAGAGAATATTTTAGAAGGATTTATGCATTTTCACTAGATTATCAATAGAGCCAAAAAAAACCAAACCAGGGGCCATGAAATTTACAATTATGGAAGGCTCTGCATTATTCAACACAACTATGTACTTGGTTAATATGTTAAATACCGAGGAGCAGAGAAAATTTTCAACGAATTTGTGCATTTTCACTACGCAGTACAGTTAAGGCTACACATGAAAATAATATTGTAATAAGGTCATAATGAGGTTTTACGTCATGACAGTAGCTCCGCCCTGATTGATCCATAGAAGGAAATAAAGCTCAAAATAACTATTTACCGATATTTGCAAGAATTTCTAACAAACGGCAAGATTTTCTTTATTAAATAAATATTTATGAGTGATTTTCCCTGATGAATACAGTGGCTGCAACGTTATTGTTGACAACTCACACGCACGATCACGTTACACGAACGAATCTGCCCGATAAAACCTGTTACACGAACGTTCCTTCACGCACAATATTCTACACATTTCACGATCATACACGATTGCTAACGCAAACGCACGATTCTTCAAGCAAAATAATTCAAAATATTTGAGAATGAATATTCTCAAAACGAAAAAAGGCTTAATACCTATTTTAAGTTCAAATAATTATTTTTATTATTTCACTGAAAAAATAATATTAGATGGATTGTATTCCTAGAGCCATATTGGTGTATTATGCAATAAAAAGTAATTTATTTATCTGCTCAACACTAAGTATTAGACAGGATTTTTAAAGAGAATAAATGCATTTCCACTTCATTATTGCAGCAGAATTA